CTCTTTGCAAGTTGTAGAAACTTAATAATTAATCGAGGAACGTTACTTGTTACTGATAAAGGTGTACAAATCAATAGCGTTTTATCCCTACATTCGTCGCGATCGCGTATTGGAAATTGATAACGCAAAAGTAATACGATGTACGGAGCGACTCCCGACACTGCCTGCCGGCACGACGTTCGGCGAGCGAGTGAGAGCGGGGCGACCTTCAGGTGAACATTGGCCCGCGTAACGTCGTACGATACCGCGCCGAGTGAAAAACAACAGAAAAACATTAAACGTTGAGAATACGTTGTCCCGCCTACGAAATGGAAAATTCCGTACCTAATATATTACATTACTTTGTTCCGTGACTGTTACTACGTTTTGTGTATCATTCTGCGGACTTATTGGTACCGATTAAATAAACGATTAATTCTGTTCAATTGAGAAAATGTGTCGGAACAAAAATCATTGTTACTTAAATTCTAACTACTAAGATTAGAGATTTTACCTCAATAGTTGGTGTATACAAATGTATATTTCTAAATTGCAAATCTTCACTTACTATGAATTTAAAAGAGAAGTGAAGCACACCGCGCTTCGAGAAAACATATACCTATTATGCATGCATTATATTGCTATGTTGCTGTAATATTACATTGTAATATTTCTGGAGGCGGACATTTTACCGTTGCTGCAAGATTGCAGCAGCGTTTAGGCAATGTTGCAATTTTGCGATAAATTATTGCTGCAATGTTGCTGAAACCTTGCTGTGCTGTTTGGGTCGCGATAGAACTTCTGTCTGCCGGTTTAACCCAATTTTTATCCGGACACATTCCACGATTAATCAAGGCAAATGGACGTGAGCGCGAGCGGGGGAGGGGAATTGTAGCGAAGGAAACGCACGAATGCTCGGTAAAGCCGAGGTCGCGAGTTTTCGTCTCCGAGCGGCGCGGCGAACGGCGGCACGAAGCATCCTCGCTAGAATGCAAATGATCAATTAACCAGTTGTAAATCACTACAGCGTGCCGGGTGTGGGGAGGCTTTATCTAGCCCCGCTGTCGGTACCCGGCCGGCCTAATGGCCGGCGGAGCCGGCGTCGGTCTCTTCCATCCTATTTTCATATGCTCTCCACGATCTCGCCGTACGAAATGCTCCAAAATGGGCAATACGACCGAGAAAGGAGGGACAATTTTTTCCATCTCGCCCTAGCACGGACCCTCGCTTCGAATAATCTTTTTTGCTAGTTGATTTATTATCAGTCGCGACTTGACATGATAATATTATATTGTAATTCGATAACGATTCTGTTTTTCTCGTACTATGTATTTCTGTTACACGGTATATTCATATTAATGTTGATTTTGAGCGAGTTACTATGTGTTCCGATGGAAAGCAGCTCGATTCGCCCGAGAGAGCTCTGTTCCTCAAAATAAACCTTGTTTCATCGAGCGAGGTTTTGTATAGTATCACACCACTTCATAATAATAGTGGGCGCTACTATTATTAAACTGATATTATATTCATTATATCATATAACTCGCCCTGCCCGTTTGCTGTTATCCTTGCCCACCTTTTCCGTTTTGCGATCCCTACGATGTTTGTTATCCAGGCCACGTTCGCCGTGGAACCTTTCGAAAGTTGAAGCTATACCCGTGGGACGTACACGAAGGTATTAAGTAGCCTGCGGATTCCCGGCCACACGGCTGCCTTCTCGTGATTAACATTTGGAACGGAAGAGATAATCTGAATTAGTAATTGGAACTTGGCTAAAATGTTACAGCAACGTATCATCGAGCTCGTGTGCCAATTGATAACAAGAAATTATCTCTTCGCGTAAATTATTTTAAATGTTACAAACTGTATTCATTGCGAGAAGAACGAGAATTATTTACCGGTGGATGTGTATTTTTTTTCCGAGACACATGTTTTCCGTGCGACCTGGACGCGATCATATTCATCTCGAAAATCCAATCTTGCCATGCCTTATCTAAAATGAATGGTGTGTGGGTTCGGTTAGCGCGTAGCGGGCCCAATCAAATGCTGGCGCTGTCACTGCAAAATGTGCGCAAGATACGTGGTCCGACGTGCATGTAGCCCTGTGTCGTGCGGTATTCGGGTTATCCTCAATACCACGTGGAAGATAGCCGCAGAATCTCGCGGGAATTTAATTTACACTTGGCAGATGGATGGTACTTGACGTACAAATGCGGACCGCAGCCATTCTAGCCGAATGTGTGACGAATGTTCGTATTTACAGTTCGCATTTCGCTCATCCAACGTTCTCTTCGCACGTTTCCGCTAAATGTGACTTACAATTATAAAAATGCACTCTTTAACAGCCTGTGTCGATACGTCAAATATGTTAATATAAAATACGTTCATGAAAGTTTTGATGTAAATACTGTTTTACATTGATACATTAGAGAAATAATTACAAGATGTTGTCCCATATAAAATGTGATGGCCCAGTTACATCTCATACGAGTCGACGCGAAAGCGAGATCATGGCCAAGAAATTTAATGGACTAGAGAGAAAGAGAGACAGCCCGCGATAGGGGTTGCTGGTGCTTCTGACAAAAGCTCTAATGACGTACGATAGTAACCTTCGTGAGGAGCGCGATACATATTCCGGCTGATATGCATATTTAGTACCGTTCTATAATCTTCATAGAAATGCACGGGGCACTCTGCCAAATCAGCGAAATTGAATCGGAAGAGAATTTTTAGGTGGAGCGCTTTATTACGTTATTATATTTCAGAATGCCGGATCGAGGTGGCTCTCGCACTCGCACTTCGCATTTCCAGCCGACTTGAAAGCAAGCTCGCCTCCTTGATTAGAATATCCGCGGGAATCGCGCGCATTCATTACGCTCGTCATTATTCCCGGCTTTTTAACAAACAACGCTTATTTCTGAATAATGTATTTCATTTAAGTTCATGTTACAAAGTAATTTAACTTTTAACAATTAACAATCTTTGCACCACCGGGGATTACAACTATTGCAGCGATAAACAGCGATACAATTTACAATTTGAGTCGCTCAAATAATCATTTTCAACAAAACACGCCTCATTACTCTCCGTATCTTAATATTGTAACCAAATTTGAGATATTCTACCGCCAGTAAAATTTAAAATAATTAAGTTGAATAATCCGACACCACTGGCAACAGGAAAACTTCTTTTATTAGCACTGTGCTAATGAAGGAAGTTTTCCTGTTGCCAGTGGCGTCGGATTATTCACTTTAATTGTGTTAATATTGACTTGAAATTTTATTAGCGGCCTCATAATTATGGCTAATCATGGGACACCCATATATTTCACCGCTGCCTATTATTAAATTCTTCAGATCGGTCAAATCGACCCCGGCGCACCGGTTCGATTTGCATTATTGTACGTCAGGTCGCGTGTCGCGGGCGCTCCTGGCCACCTACTTACCGCGCCTTCGGGTGTTAAATTCTTTTTTTCTCCCGCGGACGCCGCCTTTCTTCTTTTATGTCCTCAAGTAGCCTGAATTGCCGATAAGCATCGCTTGTTGTGGTACGAATATTTATAGAAGCGAATTTTGCATTTTTACTCTGATTATGCCCATCGCGCGGGCCCGCCGAGTGCCGCCGATTGTTGCGTGCCGCGTCGGCGCGTGTGTACGTTTAAGGGTTGAAGGGGAAAGGTGGAGTGGGAAGGGCGGGGATTACAGAGACGGAATATCGTGATATACGCGACATCAAAAGTCCTCGCGGTAATTGCATTTCTTAACGTCAGTACCGGTGTTACTTCCTTCTCTAATAATGCAATGCTATCGCGCCCCGTCCGCTTAAAGTTACGCCGAGCGGTTCCTCGCGGCGAAAATCAATAATGAACCGTAATAACCGGCTGTTATTGTTAGCGGCGTGTAAATGCGAATGACGCAACATGCACATTTCGCGTCTCCGCTGGCCGTGCTACGCGTGCGATGTAAGGTATACGGATAAGATATCCGGCCCGAAGACAGTTTCTTCATTTTTCATACGCCAAGTACGTCAAGCGCCGTATGTGTCGCTGTTGAATTATTCATTAGCTTAAGTATTTTTGGTCCTGACAGCTGGAAGGCTGAGAATTTTCCAAGCGAAAATCTCGTTTCGAGAACGCGAGATTGTGAATAATTATTTTGCCGTTTCGACTTGTTGATTACGTCGAGACAATGTAAAGCTAGATTCTTATTCTGTCCATGAAATTTGCATCTTATTATTTTCTTCTGACACATTTAATTCAACGAGGTTAATCGATAAATTCTTAACTGTTTTGTAGTTAAGCTTCCATTTGCCCAAATTAAATTATTCGATAGATGAGTCTGTGACTAGTGTCTATGAATTAAGTCAAATTGTTGAGATATTACTAGGCCACGTTCTCTTGAGGAACATTATTTTCAATGCCCGTGCAAATACATCACGTTCGTCGTTCAATGTGCTCGCGACTATCTATGATTCCATTTCTCCAAAGATGAAAGCACAGTCTGCAAAAGATAGATCAAGAGATACGTCAGCGCGACTTTCGGACTGAAGCCAAATCTATGGAGAAAGGCATATGTCAGCGGAATATATCTAAAATGCATTCCGCACGGCTTTCATAATAAGTTTATTTTACTTGGTTTAGTATAACGTGGTTTACCTTCATTTTAACATTTGACGAGCGTCGAAATATCAACGAATAAAATAAAGGTTTTTTAAATGTACTCTCAGTTTTTCGTTCAAATTTTGAACGCAATAATTTTAAACTTATCTTCAATATAACAACCCATGATAGTAGTAGATTATGAATATCGATCGATACCTGAAGATTAAATGTAAGAAAATATAGTTAAAACTAGGTTCGAATAAAAAAGTAACGATAAAAGTAACTGTTTAATTCGTTACAGTTACTAAAAAAAGTAACGTCGTTACCAGTCTGTAGCAAAAAAAATAACCTGCAACGGTAACGACGGTACTTCCATACCTTGGATATTATATAGTAACTGCATCTATTCTTTTATTTCCAGGAAATTGCCGCCATCCTAATCAGTTTTCAGAGGCACGCCGAATGGCAAAGTCGGGAGGTAAAAGTACGACCACGAAGTGGTTCAATGTTACTGTACTCGAGGAAGAAAGTACGCTACCGGCGGGACGGTTATTGCTGGAAGAAAAGAAAAGATGGAAAGACTACACGGGAGGATCACATGAAACTGAAGGTAATTTTACACTCAAAAGCAAGGAGGAGGATATTGAGCATTCCAAGTGTTTGACTAGTAGTCGCGACCTATTTAAAAATCCGTTTAAATTCCCTTAATAAAGTTTACGAAAGGCATTTTTTTATACGAATTAAATAAATCATTGGATTGTGCCAATTTGATGACAGGTTCAGGGAGTCGAGTGCATCTACGGCTGTTACGTGCACTCGGCGATCCTTCCGACGTTTCATCGCCGGTGTTACTGGCTACTGCAGAATCCGGACGTTGTTCTCGTTCATTATCTGAACGTCCCTTATCCGGACGGTGATGCGAAGCTGGCGGCCCTACCACCCTGCCTCGCGCTGCCGCCAGACAAGAAGGAGTGGACGCGAGACGAGCTAGCGTCGCAATTAAGGCCCATGTTCCTCGGTGGAGATGACGATCCGAACAATCCTCATCTCACGCAGCACTCGAACCATCCCGTCGACATGATAGTCTCTCAACTGCTCGATAGGCAGAGGGCATCCTCCACTACCACTACCAGCAACACTCAACTCGCACCTAGGAGACTTACGCCCGACAATCAGGTATTATACTAAACTTTGCGTCTCACGATACTCTGACATTTCTTAATTCATAATGTATCAAAAGATTATCTATCACAATAATTAAAAATCTTCTTCTGTTTTTCGTTAGAATCCTTCCCGTTATCATTATTTAACGTGATCGCATAGTCAAATCTATTTACCCATATACAATCGCTCGAAATAGGTCTCTTCAACAACGGGAGGTCAACAACAATCGACGACGGCGGCTCCGGCTCCCCGTGTGTACTCAAGACATTCCCATTCCACTCAGAGTCAACAGCCGGCTCCTCTAGTTTTAAGTTTGCAACAAATTCAAGGCGGTGGTGGTCTCCTGATACTTAACAGTCAACCATATCATCATCAGCAGCAACAACAGCAGCAGCAACAGCAGCAGCAGCAGCAGCAGCAGCAACAGTCTCAACAACAGCAGCCGCCGCAGCCACAGTCACAGCAGCAGCAGCAGCAACAGCAGCAGCAACAGCAGAGTCAGCAGGTGGAGATGCAACAGGTCACAGAGCAACAAATTGTACCGCAGACCAGCGTCGACCGAGAACAGCAAACGCAGCAAGAAATCGACGCGCAAGAGAGCATGGACAGGTCTACTGTGCAATCTCTGCCGATGGGCGGTTCCGGCACCGAGGTAACCGATTTCGCGGAGACTCTGGATCTTAGTCAGGAAGACATTCAGAGGACACTGTCAGCCAACATGGTGCCCCCATCGCCGACGCCTTCGCCGGCGGACAACAGCATGATCAATCCGATGGACTTTATCGACTCGTCGGACGACGTGCTGGTCAATCTGGACGCGTTCGACGTGTTCGGCGATTTGCCGGAGCTGCACGACTTCGAGGCCGAGCAGACGAAGCACGAGGAACAGCGCGGTGGTCCCGAGAACGACGTCGGGTGTCATCCTGGTACAACCGTCCATATTGCAGAATATAGTCCTGAGTGGAGTTACACCGAGGGTGGTGTAAAGGTATGCGATTAAAATATTTACAGCCGATCCCTTTTTTTTAGTGAATTCGTTGATTATTATATAGATACGTCTGAGATGAACGATATTTCAGGTATTAGTTGCTGGTCCATGGACCGGCGGTAGTGGTTCCCAGTCGTATTCAGTACTTTTCGATGCGGAACCGGTCGAAGCGTGTCTCGTGCAACCAGGTGTACTACGTTGTCGATGTCCCGCACACGCACCAGGAATAGCGTCCCTCCAGGTGGCCTGTGACGGTTTCGTCGTGTCCGATAGCGTTGCCTTCGAATATCGTAGAGCGCCAACGAGCGAACCTAGCCCAGAGAAAGCTCTACTGGACCGTCTTGCCGACGTCGAAGCACGTCTGCAGGGTCCCGGTCCGCCATCTCCCGCAGCTCATCTGGAAGAGCGACTGGTTGCTTATTGCCAGGTAAACCTGGCAAGAACGACTCGATAGTTCTGCATTGATCATGGAAATCCTTTGTTAGATGCGATAGTCGTAGTTTAATCAATTACAGTGTAAAATATGGAAATATTCCAGGATGCTGTTGTCCGTCCTTGGCGAACTGGAGCGGAACCTCTTCAATCCGGTGGGCCTACCCTCTTGCATCTGGCGGCCGGATTGGGGTACTCCAGGTTAGCCTGTGCACTCCTTCACTGGAGAGCAGAAAATCCTAGTAGCGTTTTGGACGCCGAGGTCGATGCTCTTAGGCAAGATAGCGCCGGCCTTACGCCACTTGCTTGGGCTTGCGCGGCAGGGCATGCCGACACCGCCAGGATTCTTTACAGGTTTGTGAAAATATTCTTGTTGGAGTAACACTTGTTTAAATGATGAACAACTGGATCCACGAAGTTACGAGAGACATTATGACAACTTTATGTACCCCCGCCTTTCGTGTAGCTCGCAATTGCTTCATACCACGAATATATCGATTTTTAATTGACTTGAATTTTTCATAAATATTTGTTGTTGACTCTGCCTCCATAGATGGAATGCTATGGCACTACGCGTGAGGGACTGTCAGAATAGAGCGGCGACCGAGCTGGCCGCGGAGAACGGTCACACGGCGATCGCCGAAGAACTGAATCAGCTCGAAACCCGAAGGCAAGACGAGAGGCTTTTCTTGCGACCCGCCAGCCCTAGCCCTAGGCGGCCATCTCAAGACAGCGGTCTCGATCTGGCGTTGTGTTAGTCTCGTTTGCTATTATATACTGCCCTCTCTTCCGTATACACGCACACACACACACATACACACACATACACACATATTCACGTATTTGAAACACGTATAGTCACACCCTTTGCCGTTTAGTCCCCCTCAGCGCCACTATATTTCCCCTCGTCCAGTTTATAAAGACCGTAGAGTCACAAAAAGGCCGTAAGTCATGCGAGCGTAATAAATTAGGCAACGTATGTAGCATTAAGTGGGGTTTATCGAAAAACACACAGGTGGCTCACCGCTGCTGGACAACATGGAATTGTTGCAAGAAGATGAGTCGTCGTTAGGCCTCAGCGAACAGGGAATGGAGAGCGCTCCGACCCCTCAGGAGACCGTAGGTCCGTACCTTCCTCGTTTCCTCTTCTATTTGTCTGTCTGTCTGCCTGTCTGTCTGTAAAAACTATCCGTAATTCTCTGTCTGTTTTCTGTGACACACCGATAGAAATGGATCGGCCTAGACATATTACCACAATCACGTGGGCTGCGAATTCCGTAGAGATCCTAGCTGAAACTGCGTTCGCCTCCCTCGTTCGCAGACACACATACACACACACGCACACACACGACATACACACACCTTTTACACACACATACATACACGCGTACAGCAGTGTTCTCTTTCTCTCTCTCTCTCTCTCTCTGTCTATCTCTCTATGTGCGTACGAGACAACCGGACTCGATCAGCGACTCCGCTGCCTTTTCTAACTCCTCTGAACTCTTGCAGCTTAAACAATATTGGTGTTGCTTGGCCTTCGTAACCGGTGTTGGATGAATTGCTGTGTAATGTTTAAATTTTCCTAGCCACTGTCTACTGTCGGCTATCGAGGCCTATTCTCGAGCATTGTCCGTATGCAACCTTTCAACGACTATATAAATTATCATCTGGCCAGACACGCGATCTGCCCAGTCGATCAATGTGGAGTATCTCAGCTGGCTATCATCTTACGAAACAAGTAGGAAAGTGCCGCGCTCACCAGTGACTTGTCTGATTCCTCGTGCTGTCAATTCGTGTCGTAGCGGCGCACTTGGTGTTTTTACCTGACATTGCGGCAGCATCTCGATGCATCGTAGAACACGTTCACGGCTTTTAAACCTCGGTGTTGTGATCGATGTGATTTCGGCGGTCTGCCACCACGAGCTTTTCGAATTTGGCTAGGGTGGTGATTCCTTTTTATAGGGGAAGAAGACGCGAGGGTGCTGACATTGGCAGAGCAAATTATAGCGGCGCTACCGGAAAGGATCAAGAGGGCGGAGGGTGATTCTCCGTCTTCTTCCTCGCCACCTCCACCCACGGCGCCTCTGTCACCCTTGGAAGACGCTCTCATGGAACAAATGGTGAGGGTACCGCGCTGATATCGCTATTATAATTGATAATCAGAACGTGGCGAGTCTCGTAGAATCCTTTGTCTTAATCTCTACTTAAATTCCAAAGCTGGTTAAATGTAGATAAGGAATTGCGAATGATTAATTGGAACGTCCCTGAGTACGACACAGTCTTCTGGCGGATACATTCGGAGAGATAGCAAACATTAGCAGTTCGGTCTTGAATCATAATTAGGAGTAAAACTTTTGGACCAAGCCAGGATTGGAGTTCCGACAAATGGAACTTTCAAGCTGCTGGGCTTTCCATTATAAAGCTCTATTTACATGCTAATCGTCCTGCCTTGTAGCCTCTCGACTCCGGGGAACTCTTCGACTCGTACCGCGACTGCAGCGGCGGCGCCGCTTCGGTCTCGGATGCCGACGCCGACGCCAGTCCCTCGAGTCCCTCCAGCAGTTGCTTGACGCCGGACTCGCCGTCCCCGCCGCCCACCACCGCCGATTTCTGCGAGTTTCTACAGCTGCAGCTGCAGCTCGACGGCAACGGGAACGCTCACAGCGGTCAGTACTACTCGTCGAACGGCTGTGGCGAGCGCAAATTGAACGGCATGATCGGCTCCGGGGCCATGTCGGCGGTTGGCGTCGGGAATGGCAACGGCGACGGCAATGAGGCGGATCTGAGCAGACTGACGCTGTCCGATCGCGAGCAGAGAGAGCTCTATCACGCCGCCAGGATGATCCAGAAAGCGTACAGGAATTACAAGGGTCGCCAGAGGCAAGAGGAGGCCGAGAGGCACGCCGCTGTTCTGATTCAGCAGTACTATCGTCGTCACAAACAGTACGCTTATCACAGGTAACTTGTCTATTACTTCCTACTAATTTCATCGACAAATCTTTTATATTCATTCTTACGTTTCGTTTCGTTATATCGTTGTATATCGTGTCCATTCGTATTTAAATTCAGAGAACGGTCTGTCTCGTACCTTTCGACGTTCCTCCTTCCTCCCGTCGTAACATTTCGCATGCCATCGAGCTTCCGCCAACTTCGAAACTCTTAAGAACGAAATGAATCACCCGCTGTCGGACTACAATGGTACTAACTACTTTACGCGATGCATGCGACGTTTAGATACAAATCGCCCGAGTTTATGCGGTGCAAGTGTTATCAGGTTGAACTCAAGGTTGTTAAGTATGACAGATCATTATCTCGCATCGCGCAGACATCGCCAAATTGCCTCGAACTTAGAAAGTTAAATTTCCATCGATATCCCGCTGGTTGAAGGGAGGATGCGGGGGGAGGGGGACGTCTTAATAAGGGACAATTAATAATCGGGGGACAAGACGTACCATTGTGGGCCGACTTAACGACCTCCGACTGAATTAGACTGATGCCACCAAAGTTCGACCCGTGTACCTCTCTCCCGGGGCGAACTTTTAATTGGCATCGTAAATAATTCGGGAACTTTGCGGATTTCCCTGCCTTCGTTACGGTGGCCTGAATACAGAATTAAGTTGGCATTAAATTAATACGACTTTTGCGTCGGTGCTGGAGATCGGTATTCCGCCATTTCTCCTTCCCGCATTCGCCGAGTTATATACGTTAGCGATTTCAACTTCCCATTGTAATGCCTCCGAAATTAGGGATAATCCGACTATATATTATCATCGTAGAATCTTCGCGGAAACGCAAGTCGCGGGAAGTAATGAAAGACGTCGGGCGTGCGGCCAATCCCGGCTATTATTTACCGCGGAACAGAGATCGGAATACATTAATAATAATGACAGGACTTTCATTTCCATTTTTTTTTCATGAGAATCATTTCTCTTCCGTAGCCCCATGGTTTTATGATTTATGCCATTCTAATATTCTTACACGCTGGCGATTGCTCTAAAGTTTAAAGTGCGAGTTGTCTTGCGCAACGGTCCTATTGTCGCATTCTAGAATACTTGCATTCTGGAATACTCAAGAAACCATACTCTTTGTCGCAGGCAAGCCACGAGGGCAGCGCTGGTGATCCAGAACAACTACCGAAATTATCGCGCGCGGCCGGGCTCGGCCAGCGCGAGGCAGCAGGCTGTTCATCAGCAGGCGGCCCATCAGGCAGCGAGGAAGATCCAGCAGTTCATGCGGCAGTCCAAGATCAAGTTAGTATCCCCGTATGTACGCGCGGGTATGTGTGCGTGTGAGCGTGTGCGCGCGCGTGTGTGTACAGTGCTGCATTTTCTGTTGCAACGATGTGCACGCACATTAGTTAAGTAGAGAACTTCTTGTTAGCGCACAAAAGGCTTTTTATCGTACTAAAAAAAAAAACGGACAAAGTGTAAAAGTTCTAAAGTCCCCCTCTTCTGTGTGTCACTAATGCAGCTTGTCGTGGGACGATTCACGACCGGTAAGTAAAGATAACTTAATAGGGCGATTGTTTCGGCAAAACAATGCTTGCTTATCTATCTCACTCTTGTTCCTATCTTTATCTGTGCCGGAGGGAATTAACGCTTTCGTTGTTTCCCTCCTCCCTCTCTCTCTCTCTCCCTCCCTCCTCCCGTTCTCTCCTTTCTCTCTCTCTCTCTCTCTCTAGACCTGCACTCTGTTTCATCACACACACTGATTAACGATGTCTATATACCGGAAACTAGCATATACATGGTTCACACGTTTGACGATGCTTCATGTTTATTGTTTAAATGTATAGATATATTATATTTTGTGTCTTTACAACAAAATCAGCTTAACAACGTAGAGCCAGCGGATTGCTCGACGGTCACTTTGCCAATAACTCGTGGACGGATTCGTCGAATCGCGCGTTTCAATGTGAATAATTGAAAAATGTGCATTTACATTTTGCTGCGGCTTCCGTATACATTGTAATTCTAAGTGCCGGTTGTTCCCGTCTTTCGGTAAATTAACTAATAATAGTTAAATCATATGTGTGTCTTTGTTTTTCTTTCAACAAAGATAAGGCATATAATTTAATTGTTAGCTCACCAAGAGGTTGGGAAAATTGGCCCTAAGTAATTGAAACATTTCCTCGAGATGTCGGAATTAATATTAATTTTTCAATGGTAAATATTCCCGTCCACTGAATGAAAGAAAAGACACTCAATTCATACGTCTGTTAATTTAGAAACAATTGCAAGACGCGTGGTACATACTTGTTTACTTTTGTTTGGAAAAGACAGATACGTATGTCAAATGATATTCGGACAATGCGATTTTTAATGAAGTAATATTGTCCATCAACGAGTTACCGCAAAGTATCAAGAGGAGCGCTTACCGGTGCATCCATTTGCCTTCCGGTATATATTGCCTGGATTATTCGGTGTCACGTATGCACCCACGCGTAAGCGATGCGTGCTTTTACATAAAGCCTACGTTTCTGCCCTGAATCAGACTGCAGAACGCCAAGGTCGTCGCAAACGGGAGCGGGAGGCTGCCAGCGGTCACTTCACGAGCGGCTGCTGCCCTCCAAAGCTCGCCCTCATCTAGCCCAGGGGCCAGCCTAGTAGCCGTCAGCCCGGGGGTCACCTAGTTGACTGTCAGTCCAACGGCACGCGGAGCAGCGGCGACGAGAATTCGGTAGCGAAATAACACGGCCGGTGGTGAGAGCCGTTGGCGAACGACGCCCCGGATCGGCCATCGTCACGCTCTGAGGGAGTATGCGAGGTTGTTAACGACGACTATAACTACTACGAGAGGGTACCAGACGTACGACACGGATGATATACGACTTTGCTCTCTGCGTCTCTGATTTGCGTACCCGATGGTCAACCAACATCTAGTCTTACCTGTCTTTCAATCTTTTGTCCCCTTACATCAATAATTGAGTTAACACCGCGTCTCATCCTCGACCGCTCGTTCTTTTCGCTTGTATCTTACGCTATTACTCTCTACGCGCCCCTGCATTCTCCTCGAGCGAGCATTAGTGTAGCAGAAAATAGGCGAACCTATCGTAAGTGAGTTTGCTGAAAACCTATAACGAGATCGATCGACTGAAGAAAGCTTGTAGAGTTTTACCTTTCGCTTAAGTAAGATGTAAGGTGTATATAACTGACGTATCTCTCCAGGAGTACGAGGTCCGCTTGTTCCGACACATACGTTGATTCCTTGCTACATTGCGACAACATCGGAGTTGACGAGTCGTTCCCGTGATACTTTATCAAGTCCTTGCGTGCACCGAGCTGAATCGCACAAAATCGTTGTCGCTTTTCGTAGGTTGAAATAGTTCGCGAATTTACTGCTGGCAGATCTTTTTAAAACGAAACGTTTCTTCAACACGAGGCTTTTCACAAGTGTAGACTTTTTTCTCCTTTGATGACACTGGTTGACGTATTCGAAGCCTTCTTCGGGGACGAAGATCGCGTAAACTGAGTCAAGCGCAGCGTGCATTTTTAATTATAATTGATATCAAATTCACATAAAATTGAATCAATTTCGATACCGCAATTTTTTTAATATTCGAAATAAAATATGAACATTAATTGAAGATTTTTTTATCCGAAAAGAAAGCTCTGTTGACTCGTGTCATCAATATCGTACTGCTCGCATCGACGCAAGAGATTATCGTTAATTTTTTTCAACATTATTACATGCACCGTATAATCGTACTTGCATGGAGAACGATTAATATTTTCCAATTTGTTTTACACGGACACGTTCTCATCGATTTTCCTAAAATTCTAATTGAAACGTTGGAAACAATTCTAATCGATTTAGGCGGAACATTATCGAGGAGGGATAACGCCTGTGAAGAAAAAAAGAAAAGAAGAGAGCGGCCTCGATTGAGGAAGACTTATCTTACGTTCACGGGAGAACATTGTGTTCGAGCTTCTCCGAGATTCTTTCCCAGTTTTTTTATTCGCATGTCGGATTTCGCATTTAGCTGACGCTAACAGATGTTTAATGAATGAATGAGCGATCGGAATATGAAGGGGCATCGTGAAATTGATTTTACAAGTAGTAACGAGTTACACTTTGACAATTATAAATTTTGAAACGATGACAAATTTGGAAAACGTCAAAGACAAAGGTAAAATTCTGAATGCGGATACAGAATATGTTACACGAAATTAGATTTTTATTTTGATCGATTATTTTATTGCCTGTATATTTTTACGAGAGATAGTTAAATTTAATTACTATAATACGCGAAGCTGGGCACCGCATTTCTATTATACAGCGTAAATCTGAAAGCGCAGCATCGAGAATCTACTGTACATAATTGCGATGAGAAATTATTGTCATTTATCATGTAGCAGAAACGATCTCTTTCGTGTACGATATTTATTTTGCCTGAGAGACGCAAGGTGAACAAAAAGGTCTATACTTTGATTTTAGAAAATTTTAGAGAAAGCAAGAGAAAAGAGAGAGAGAGAAGCAGAGCGAGAGCGGAGAGAGGAAAGAGCGAGAGGGAGAAGGTATTATTAAAGAGGAATTAAAAGAAAAATAGAGAGAAAAGAGAAAAAAATGAACGGGCCCTTCGTCCAAAGGGCGCAATTTCATCCACGGGCTGTGCTAGTCACAGTATAATCAACTTCGTAGAGTTACTTTTTAGAACGTAAGCTAGTCGATTACACATTGTTACAAAAAAACTACCTACCGTTTCTCTCTCCGATAGGGGATTTTTTAAAAGGTTCTCTAGCGTAAAGATATAATTAGCGGTTAAATTAAGGGCGTAGTTGATTGCGGACGCGCGCGATCGCGCGCGCTTGCACGGCGCGCGAAGGGCGCGATTGTCCCGGCGTTCAAAGTTTTGATCGGGTGGACAAACGTCTATTGTGATAAATTAATGGTGATCCAAGAAAGTATTTCCGCGCAACGGGACAAGGGGGAGACGGAGATGAAAATCCACGTGTCTCCGACGTACGTCTCCGTGTACGCACGCGGGAACTCTCGCCGAGATGTGAAAAGAAGGGACGGAGGCAGACGGAAACACAGACAGACAGACGGATAGAGATCTGAGAGATAACTGGCGTGCCGGTATTACGTCGTGCGGGATCTGTCGGGGGAGTAATGTGTCGATACCGCGCGTCGTAAATGTAAAGGGTGCTGCGGATTTTCGAACTACCGAACTTCTTCGAGACAGTAAATCAACCCATATCGACCCTCTCCCCTCGGGGTGTGTTTCGCAGACTCACAGCGGGTTGTGAGATCTGATGGAGCGACGTAATTGCGGAGCGCGAGGTGGAGTATTACCACAATATATATTGTACACATGAGTCAATTCCAACGAGCATTTTCATGCCATTAAGCTTAAAGAGTTATTAGTTATTAAAAGGAGGCGAGGCATGCGCGGGAGGTGAGAGGCGGGTGCGAAGGAAGGAGGAGGAGGAGGGAAGGGAGAAGGAAAGAGATAACAAATTCTTACACTCTTTTAATCATTGTTAATTAATTAAAATAATCACGATCCTATCGAAATACTTAAAAATGAGTAAAATAATAATAATAATTATATAAAAAAAAACTATTATATATATATTCATATTTTTGCTTATTACATATTTAAGAATCTAATTAAACGAGAGCTAGCGATTATAAATGTAGCGGGCACGAAGGGCGTTAATGATAACGACGTTGACGATGATGATGAATAAAGTCTCAAGTTAGGGATAATTCTAGTTAGTCGGGCTTGTCGTTATGCGTGGCAATCAGGTTCCGAATTTAATAATTAATGAAGAAAGGCACGTGCGCGGTCTCGGCGGAAGAATCCTCGGTGCAATCGTACGCAACCGAGGACGGGGTGTGCACTGTCGCTTTTCACCGGGGTCTCCGCGAGACAAGCCGAATACAATATTTTTTACCCGCGGAACGGCGGACAGGGATGGCCGATACCGCGCGAGATTTCCAAAGTTTCGCCGTTGCTCCACATTCATTGCATAATTAACCACGTACATCGAGGGCAAGCTGGGCGACGGTAATCATTAGGCCGACGGCCAGGTGACGGGCGGAGAAGGGAACGAGAAGGGTGGAGGCTGATGAGAGAAAAAAAAAGAATAATCTTAATTAAAAAGACATCGCTAGGGTAGGCGCTTCGATGAATACATAAACTTTAAAAGTCATTTATAATACAAATTATTCTCAAAATATAAAGAAGTTTAATAAGTAAAGGAGAAAAAATTTTTAAATTCTATGTAAGGAAGCCAAGAGTCAAAGACGACTAGATGATAGGAGCCGCATGGCCTAACTGCTGCCACTTTAATTAATTAAATAAATAATTATAACTTTATTACTCAATTAATCTCGATACAACAGATGCGAAATAATGGAAAAAAAAAGAAAGAACCTATAACACACTCTATCTCATGCCACTTTTCAAACTACTCTCTAGATGCAGAGACGAATCAGTAGATATATTAATAGCGGACTATTAAATGCAAGATTAAAACTAACAGGAATTAATTCTTCTCCTAAAAAAATCAGGAACGATCAAGATTCACGCTATAGATTCGAGATATTTCCAATTGTCCATTACTCCAGAATCGCACGAGACATACGCGCGTTTATTCGAGGTCCGCCCGCACGGTTTCCGCTGTCGCGAGCCCGCCGGAATCTCGCTGCGGCCCTATCGCGAAACCGTGTTACGAGAATCGCGTACTCCCCCTCCGGAATCACGGGGACACGAAAGGGCGAGTTCCGATGCCGCGAATCGGAAGTACGCTTCGGCGTCTCGGGAAACCGGAATACCGCGGTTTCGAGGACCGCGAGCGCGCGATCGCCGAAGCGGAAGCGGTTTCGCCTCGTGGCTCGGGCATCGCCGACACATATGTATCTCTCGCGGAAACTCTTGCGTATATTTTTTACAAAATAGGAAGAAAAAAGAAAAAGAGGACTGAGAAGAAGAATCGAGAAAAATTCAGCACGCGGTCATCCGGCGCCGATCGCACGTGGCCGGGGCACGGGCTCGCGATCGCGCGGAACATGCGGCGCGCCCCACGCGCGTTTGCACGCGTCACGATGTCGAAAGGGTCGAAACGATCGGGTCGGTGCCTATCACAGTTTGTACAGACACCGGGGGATACCAGGAACACACAGAGGGACACAGACTTACAGTACGAACATACGAACACAGAATTACACCGAGTATCACAGAGACACACGAAAGAATTATAGAGACCCAAAGATACGTTGTTCCTTCGTCGCGACGGTCACTTTGTACCTGCTTGCTGCCTGCCTGATCCCACACACGACACAACTCCCAGTTTCGCGTGGCGGCGTTTACGTACCATACAGGACACACACGGGACACATACGCGATACACACATACACGTACATGCATACACACAGCCTTTTTACTCCGCTCGACGATTGATAACGTCCAAGCATGTCGCGTGTACTTTCGTTGTGATAATCTGACGCGTTGCGAAAAAAATCATTTCTCTGCGTACGTCGAGAACCAAGCTGATTTGCCATTTGTTGTTCAGTCCCATCGTCGATTTTTTCGCGATAGGGAGAAAGAAAGAGAGGGAGAGAAAGGGAATGAGAGAAAGAGAGAGAGAGTGTGAGAGAGAGAGAGTGTGAGAGAGCGAGCACGATTTTCCCGGAATGTTGATGATGGTTTCGACGACTGTTTCGACATCAATCCGCTCTTGGCGTTTCCGCGTTTCGAAATTCGAGCGATCGCGTAGGACCTTGATCCTCTCTTGTTGCTGCGTAATCGCCTGATGAGAAATCGAGTGCCTGAGATCGAGTACCCGAGGTCGAGGACCCGAAATCGAGTACCCGAAGTCAGGAAGTTTCGAAACGAGGACGACGCGTAGATGTGGCACATACGTGCTAGATTTTACTAGCGGAAACGAATAACGGTAAAGGCTCCATCTCTTGTAATATTTTTATTATCGCAAGCGTAATATTATATATATAATATATATAATTAAATTATATTATTAAATAAAGGGATTATGCCACTGTTTATTATTTATTGACTAACGTTCGACTAATATTGTAAATAATAACGAAAATATTTTATCTATATTTCCGATCTCCGGGGGGGCGCCGGGCGGGGGTGGCGTATTATCTCTTGTCCGCCTTCGCGGCGATCATTAACGATCGCCGTTTCGCCCGCCCCTCTATTGTTACACCATTTCATCACATTGCATTTAATAAATTATATATTTATTGACTCACACTTACTTTTCACTTGCCCTACTCACCTTTTCAGTTGCCCACCCTCCTCCCTGATCTACTTACGTTTTCTTTTTTGCGATTTTTCTTCGAACATTTGGTTGACATTATCAACCTCAGATAATTACCGCTGGTTTGAAGTTTTAGACTAATCGCAAATAGAAAAGAAAGGTCTTGTCGTGAGATCATTTAGTAAACGATGGGGAAAATTGTGTACTTTGTTAAGAAATTGTGTCGGAGACTAGAACGACGGTCTAAGTGCTAGATCACATTGTGAGCGATTGCCTTAGTTAATCAATTCGCGATAAAATACTGCGAGAGCTGACTTAACATGAATGCCGGATATTATAGTTGCCCCTGGACCGGGATATGGCGAATAATACAATTACGGCAAGTTAATATCCGGAATATCCGGGCAAATAATGATCTTAGGATACGTCGGAGAAGTTGCTTGTAGAGCTTCTATTGATGCTAAGACAAACTTCCACTTCCAACTGCTCATCTCTCTCGAGTGGAGTGCCGAGAACCAAGACTTTGCGAACCGCTAAATTTAACGATCGTATTCATAGTGCAGAAGTAATAATCCTTTCTCGCTTTAGCTAATGTCTCAACTGTTTCGCAGAGGACGAACGGAATAGTACGTGTCGAAGGCTAAGAGGCGAGTGGTCCGGAAAAAGACTTATACCTACCGTCTTCCTTCCGCAACAGTTTATTTAAAGCATACAAACGGTACAAACTTTGCTGTCACTTTGCATATAAATTAAATTAAGTCGTTCGGATATCGTGCGTGTGTGTACGAGAAGGAGAGAGAGAGAGAGAGAAAGAGAGAGGGAGAGAGACAGGAGAGAGATAGCGGTGATAGTGAGAATAGAGTGGGACGAAAAGGCAAACATGGTCGTGTGTATTTTTCAAAACTGCCGACCGGAGAATCGCGACTGCAGTCCAAGATTTTCCCCGAGAATTCGAACCGCTCGCCGCTGAGCGAGCGGCGCGATTCTATTCATCGCGTCGTTGGGCTCGTCGATACGATTGCTGTTCCATTTTTTTTCTCTTCTTTTTAGGCTTTTCTCTCCGCAATTCCGTCCGTTTCGATATTTCTTTCATTCCATATCGCGTCGTGCGCCGAGTGTATGAATCCAATATTCGTCAAAGTGACACGAGAAACGAACGCGGTAAACCGCAGGAAAGCAATGGCAGATCTACGCGTTTCGCAACCGGAAACGCAGGGGCGTTCGGCTTGTCCGGGAAATTTTGATAATAAAGATATTAGCTCGAAATAGAAAACGCGTTTCCCCATTTGGTTTGCGCAATCACCGGCTCCAACCCAGATAGCACAAGACATTCCTATTTTAAGAATATCCCTCTAGAATATTTGGGACATTCCATAGGTCATTCTTATATATTTATCTTATGTTCGTGGAACATTCGACTGGCACTACTACAAATCTTTTTCGAATGTGAATAGTATAGTCTATCGAATATAGCGTGTCAGTTATATATATGATCACAGGTTTCGCTGCCTTTTGCATAAGATAAGGGTATTACACAATAAACAATGCGCAATACATAAACTCGATGAATATTAAAAAATTATTCCGAACGAATATTCCAAAGACATTCTCGGCGAATGTTCTAAAAACGTTCTTCTTTGTTATGAATATACGATTTCTAATTGTAATACGAGTTCGATTGGAATATATTCTGAAATTATGTATATTTGCACTCCAGAAGAATATTCGTAGAACTATGTGTGCTATCTGGGAATGCTTGCAAGGCGAGCAGAATAGAACGATAATCATCGCGAACTTTTTCTTAAATCGTTTGCTCGATAAGAGATCCAGTATCTACGTCAAAGTAATATAATTAAAGACAAGTTATTTCATTAATATACTAACCTAGTCGCCGATGGAGACAATAAATTCAGAATTTCACGCACCTCAAACAAAATTATTATCAATAATTTACAGTGCAATCCGAGGCAAACAACCGTTTCCATTTTTACGACAATGGATTTCTCTTATTCATAGAGAAGCGCGAAAATCATCACTTTGCGGCAAAGACTATTTCCGTGCTTTATTATTTTATTAGATAAAACTATGAAAGCGATGACTGTATTATGGTCAGATGATGGAGGTCGTTTTCCAGGCAATAAAGAGTAAAATAAATTATAACAAGCTTCATAAGATTCACGAGAGGTTTTTCCAATTACGAGAGCAGATAAAAAAAATATCTACGTTCGTGATGAACGAATGAAACAGGCTGTAACGATATCTCACCCCAGCTTTATGACGAAAATTAATACGTAATAATATGTTTGCAGAATGTCTCTATTTAATTAACAATCGCTAAATTAAATAATCTGATCCGATATTAAAGTTCGTAAATTTTTCAAGATATTATATATCAATTTTAATATAAAATTACAATAATTTACCTCCCAAAATGTACAGAATTATTTTCTCTGTTTAATTTTTTCCACCCTTTTTTTCAATTTCGAGCTTTGCTAAGTATCCGTTACAAATTTCAGATAAAAAAAATGTGATGCAAGAAAACTAATGGAGATTATTGAAACTCGACTTTGCAGATATTTATTCGGACTCGTAGAAGTCGATACACTCTTCCATTGAAATGTGCGACGCGGTCCAGAGGTATTCTCCCAATATTCGCTCGTCATTAATAAACGCAGTATTAATAAACGCGAATATCGACCAACGCGTAGTTAACTGTTTGGTTAAAGAAGGGAGCAGAGCCCCTTCGTTACATGAAACATAATCGACGAACTCAGAATACTTGGACCCGGTGATTCTCACGGTCGCAGACGACGATGTTGCCGGTGGAGGTGACGGCGACTCCCTCGAGACCTTTGAACTCGCCGTCGCCGCTGCCCCAGCAGCCGAAGGACTTGAGGAAAGCGCCGTCGGGGCTGAAGATCTGTATCCGGTTGTTGCCGGAATCAGCGACGACGATGTAGCCCTGATCGTCCACGGCGACGCCCCGCGGGAACTTGAACTGGCCCTCGTCCGAGCCCTCCGAGCCGAAGGACGTCAACACACGGCCGTTCACGTCGAATATTTGCACGCGGTGATTATTGCCGTCGCTGACGATCACTCGATTGGTGTTGCTCACCGCGATGTAATGCGGGTGTTCTAACTGGCCGCGTCCGCTACCGCATGAGCCAAACTTGCCCACGAATGTGCCGTCCGATTGAAATACCTGCGTGCGAACGGTATTTCGGTCAGGTATGCTGTTAAAGCTGGCGTAAGAGTACGGTATTTTTAACAGTCGCTAAAAGTCAACGGAATAACGAAATTTACCGAGCTCGCGTCTCTTCGCTATTCGATCTTGTCTCATGTACTTTACGTAACGAAGTTATCGTGAAAATATTCAAACGAGAAAAACAAACATCAACGTGTCCTCTCTCCAATAATCAGTTAATTATCCGCCGAGTTGATCGATGAGCCCCAGCGTGTTAGGGCGCACGCACCTGCACGCGATGATTCTCCTTGTCGCACACGTAGATGAATCCGAGAGCGTCGGTGGTGATGCCCCAGGGATAATTGAATCGGCCGTCGGCGGTGCCCTGAGAGCCGAAGGCGCGCAGAAAGCGGCCGGACGGATCGAGCACCTGGATCCTGTGGTTGTAGCGGTCCGCGATGATGTACTGGCCGATCCGGTTTACGGCCACCCCGGCGAGGCAATCGAACTCGCCCTCGCCGCTGCCGTACGTTCCGAACTCCTTCATGAAGTTCCCATTACCGTCGAATACCTGCGGACCGAGCGGTGCGCGGTCGTTCACATCGAGGGCCGATATTAAAATCGGCTCGCGGCCGACCGCAATAACCGGTGGCAGGACGGGGTATTCTCCCCCGTGCCTTATTTACGATTACGTCGAGGCGGGCGCCCGTAAAATCCTGAGGGCTTCGTGTACACACTTCAGTTTTTACGCGCTCATATTAAGTTAACTATTATTGCCTCAAGCGACGCGATTGATTTATCGAGGCGCACATGTCCTCAATATTGAATTTGGCAAGTTGCTACACGGCAAAACGATTCGGCTTTCAATATTACAATTTTTTTCCAACTAATGCAATCTTCTGTCAATTTTTGTTACAACTAACAGTTTTATCGTTGGAAGAATCGTTACGCCAAATGTGATGGAATAATTTCGCTTATCGCGTTTTGATGCTGCAATTTAAATTTGATCCGGAGTTCCGATTTTGAGTTTCCGGAAGAACGGCTTACTTGAACACGATGATTGGAGCTGTCGGCCACGACGATGGAGTTGTCCGGGCCGACTGCGAGGCCTCTCGGCCAGGTAAAGCATCCGGCATCGCTCCCCCGCATCCCGAACTTAAACAGCTGCCGCCGCTTCAGCAAGTAATGACTCCTCCGACCATTGCTAGAATCAATTAACGGGCCGATCAACGACGCTCGGATACGTGATTTCCAATCGTTCCGCAATTATGGATCTCCCCGAGGAATCGTCCTTCCGGCCGCGTAGTTAATCATGCGGTCACGCGCAAACGCTTACGTGATGAACGCAGTTATTCTTCATCAGATACAAGTCCCGAAACCCTATTGCGCTAAGAAAAGTTTGCGGAGGAAGTGCAGGAGAGAGAGGGGGGGGGAGAGAGAAAGAGAGAGAGAGAGGAGAGAAGAGAAAGGAAGAGAAAGAAGCAAACTCGGATATAGTGGGGCTCTGTATCTTCATTGCGCGCCGTTGTTCTTAGAGGAATGTTTTTCGTAAATCCACTTTTCAAGAGAGACGCGATGTTTCACTCCGGCGGAAACAGCGGTAGATCTTCGAGAATTATGGCCGCGCGAGAAGTCCCGGAGAGAGCAACGCAACGGATAACGAGGATAAAGTGTTTTGATTGCAATGGCTGGCTCCTCGCCGCATCCGACGGACCTCCCCCTGGTTCAAGCGCGCTATGTCCGTAGCATATTTAGAAAGTCTCATGCGTTCCTTCCAACAGGTAGTGCATCCCATTCTTTCTATAAAGTACGAAACTTCTTCTTCCTCTTCTTCTTCTCCTCCCAGGCGCAGGCTTCGCCGGTATTGAACCCGGAAAACCGGGCGAAACTTCGCGGCTCGCGTTCAGCCGTTTCCTAAATTGGATCTCGCGAAGAGATACGGCGTTTTCATTCGTAAACTTTGAAAGAAAAAATATGTAATGTCGTAAGGCACAAAGTTGAAACGCCAGAAATCCTCGAATTGCCTTGTCTCTCGTTTTTAACGGCGTCCTTTATGTTACGTAATTGCAATTATACAAGCAGCCGCTTGAGATGCGCTTTTATGTCATCCCCGATGTCCTTACGTAACGTAATGTGATTAGGGCTCACCTAGTGGAGGAACCTGCTGCCGCGGGTATAACGGGAGCTGCTGTAGGGGACGTGGGGGAGCCTGACGGGTTTTTTTGGTCGTCGTCAGAAGATTCGAAGGATGCTTGCCCGGTGTGCCTCAGAGGCAGGCCCAACGACAGCCTTCGCGAAGCCGCACTGGTACTGCTGAAATTGTTTCGGCATTCGTGTAAAGTTGTAATTAATAATCGATTACGCGCCGATATAATCGCGCTATTTCGTTTCTTTTAACAGCGTTAAGCTTACCGCCCGCTGATATGATCTAATAAATATGATGATGTGCCTAATAACTGTATTGATTCCAGTGCGCGTATAATATTCCGAACCATTGTGCATACAATGCGATTAAAGCTTTATTGATATTATACGCGATTGTACGTTACACTATTTGCGATGTGACTAGCAATTTATATTCATTATGTGGAAAATAGACAATTAATTAGTACAGCCGCGCGTAGAGCTTTCATCACTCAAATATTTACATCATTCGATAAACACGAAGCTCCAACAAATTTCGAAGATTAGAACCGCTCTCCGATTCTCTGCGCCTCGCGGGCACTGGAGGCCCAGCTCACCTGGACGAAGGTATCGTGGAGGACGAGGAGGGCGGTTCCTTGTCCTTGGTGGTGCGGTTGCCGTACTTGTTCTTGAGGTACCTGGCCCAGGAGCTCAAGGCCGCGCCGTCCTTTTCCGCGCCCGGACGATCGCGCTCCGGACTCGGCTCCCTCGACTTCAGGGCGTGGGTGCTGCGGCTCCGCGCCAGCTCAGAGCCGGCGCCGTACTTGGCCGCCAGGTAGGCGTTCGGCGACTGGGTCGTTGGCGATGGTGGTTCCTCGTCCAGGTCGAGGTCGTCGCCGCCGAAGTTGTGCGAGCTCCTGGAACGTGCCAGCCGTTGTCGGCGCTCCTTCAGGGCCGCGTAGCGGGATCTCGTCGACAAGGGCGAGTCGGCCTCCGCGTCCACGTCTCTCTCGCGTTCCCTCTCGCGTTCCCTCTCGCGTTCCCGCTCGCGTTCCCGCTCGCGTTCCCGCTCGCGCTCACGTTCCCGTTCGCGGGATGCCATCATCGCCGCCTGACTTCTGCTCTTGTTCAAGAACCTGAAACATCGGGCGGACAGAACGCTCAGTTTGTCTTCATCGAGAGTTCACGCTCTTTATGTTAATATCCCGAGGTGGAATCATTTTACTCTTGCAAAAATAACTTTGTAATGTAGAAACGGTTTTAGAATTTTTCAGTCTGAAAGAATTATCTATCTGTCACAATCAATTTCCCATTTTTTCAAGTATCTTGAGTATCCTAGAAGTTATTTAGAAGAATTCTGTAAAAATCTCCTGTGACCCATCCATTACTTATGCAAGAGTAAGCTTCCATTTGATACATGTATGCATCTAACGACATTTATAACAAGAAATTACTGTAAAATACATTAGGATAATTAAGCAGCGTAAAAGAGCACTATATATAATCTCGCCTTATCCTCTTGCGTATTCGCTAGATGATACGTAGACTGTCTAGAAGCGCAACAGACTCGTTGTTAATTGTAAAACGTTAAACCAACAATGACATTCGATTTTTCGTTATAACATTATTATCTCCCGGGATATTTCTGTTAATGCGCTTTCGCGGATGCTCGGATTACTCGGACGTCCCCCGAATTTTCGAAATATCAACCGATAATCCAAACAATGCAGCTCCAGTTTCCTCATAATTTCTGCTCATCAACTTTCCCGGATTTTCCAACTAACTCTCGAGTGTCCGGCTTTTCTCGCTCGATCTAGACCGCGATCGTTCAAGCTGAATTCGAGTAGATTTTAGGTAATCGCACACCCCGAGCATCGGAGGGTACGCGAGAGTGCCTCGACCCCGACACGCACGCGGGAAAGACGATACCCATCGTGAGAGCGAATGGTATCTCTGCGGTCGTATTTTCGAGTGAGACCCTCGCATCGGGCTATTTCGGTGCATGCGTGCCGCGTAGCGCAGGCTGCGGCGTGCAAACACGTATGGGCGCAATATCGTATAACGGAAACGCTTACCGGCGGACAGTACGTCTATATTGCGTTTTATTTAAAAACAAAAAGACAACCATTCTCGAAATAAAAATAAACCGAAAGAAATGCCTCGCTTATGCGCGTCGCGTTTTCATCGCGTTAACCGGCTCTTATTAGCGGTAACTTTATCATACGCTCATGAAGACAAAGGGGGGGTGTGCATGTATATTCGTTGAAAAGAAAATTACTCGGCATTGGAAGAAACAATTCGGTGAAAATTGGCCATTATTATAATTCTGCAAAATTCTCACCGTGCTGATTAAACCACGGTGCGCCGTGCGTAAATAACAAGTGACATATTTACCAATTACACAAGCGTACTATATTAAACTTATTTTGCACGGTGTGCCCGCGGGAAACGCTATTTATGCGAGAGCGAGGCGTGCGCGCCGCACGCGAATATTAAAAGACACAATAATACGGGTGTGCCGTAAATTGCATACTCTAATGAGCACGGGGGTAACGGAGTAACAAAGTTAAGGGGTTAACTGCTTTTCGTGTACGTGTTGGTAGACTTTGCGCCGGTACCGCTATCTCGTTTATGGGATTAAGCTTATGAGGGCGAGATTTGCATTTGATTGTCCGCGAATCTATCCATTGTCCGCAATATACGAAATTCTTGCGGCCTCGAGTCGTTGTACAGGAAGTTGTGCGGGCGCATGAGACTTGAACGCCGTGTCAGCTGACTTTAAGGTACATCGCGCATACAAACGACAAATAACGAGGGCGCACAGGGCGCAAATGCCTCGCGAATTACTAATCGAAGCCTCCCTTTCTATCGACTAAACGATTAAAGCATTGTTATTACATAAAATCATTTCGAGCATTAATTTAACGAGATAACAATGAGATAAGCTGCGAGATCAGTGATTAATCTCTACGCTAATTGCGCCTGAAGTGTGGTCTTGTACACTTGCCGGAAGCGTTCATCGTCAGTGAGCAATTTACGGTAGAAGATGTCGTTACACTTGCCGGATCGCGACACTGCGGGTACTATTTTTTTATGCTTTCGGCTTTAATTTGAAAAAAAAGATCTATGCTTACGAAGCGGCCACTGATTTGATTCGATTCCAGCTCCATGGACGAGTGCAACCATCGGGGACCACCGATGCGCCGCACTTTTTATCACAGATTCGTGAGACATCCTGTATACATGACTACGGTGAATATGCAGATAAGTGTTTTACCATGAATCGCACGTACGTCATGCACATTACTCTCGTAAGCGTGTTTTATCGAGAAGCAACAATTAGAGACGTTATTTTTACAAGACGGAAAATTCGGAAGAAGCTACAGATACCAATTAAGCTACGTGTTAAAAAGTTCACGATAAGCGATGTCCTACTTCAGACTTTACTTAGTTAAAATTCTACGGACTGAAAAATTTGATCGAAAAAAAAAACGTCCCGCTGTCTACATTTTAACATTTTAACTCGTGTGAATGATTACCGCTGATTAAGCACAAATAACGGGGAAATGTAAATCTCATTGTATTAAACTGTAATTAACATCCCGGGGCGGAGTTGGCATTGCGTAGGGCGCACTGCGCGGTGCGGATGAAATTTTCGGATTGCGTCAAACAATGTTTGTGTAGGTTCGCTCGAATTTGAGAAAGTTCATGAATGTCCGCAAACTTCGGTATAAACATAGTTTATCGCGCGCCCGGTTTGTATGACTTTGCACTGAACCCCCCCCTCAACTAAGTTCGTATTTCGCCCGTATTAGGTCGGGTCCCAGTGCATCGGTAGAACCGACGTGTCACGAAGTAAGAAGTTTGCAGTTTACGAAACTGGTAGATCAGATTGCGGCGTGGATCGATGGTTCTACATTTCTCCCAAACGGCCGTGTAGGAGCCGCGAAGTTTCGACAGTGTCGATTCGTTATAACGGCAAGCGGGGCGTGCAAGAATACGTGCTAAGAATATTGTCCAACATTACACGGAGAAAAAGGGTCCTTTGGATTTAGCATTCCTATTTATTTGATCGAGAGTTGTTTCATTCTCAAACGATCTCTATTATTTGATAGAAAAGACACTGTTACTTCAAGTAATACCTTTCAATTTTAAATCATTATATTATTTAGCCAGGCGCCTATAAAATTCGGCGCTGCCACTAGATGGCCGCTGAAGTCGTAAGAAAAATCACGGCGGCCGGACGCATTCCAAATATCAAATTTGTTTGGATACAACGAAATTTATTAAATCCAAAGAAATCGTTTCCTCTGTGTATGCAGTAATCCATTTTTAGCAGCGCGAGCGTATTTTTGTAGCACGCATTAGAGGGACCTGACCATATTTTTATTGCGGTTTCAAAAAGACGATGCAACCTGTACTTGAAATAAATGCATATATAACAATGAAATTGATATTACAGACAGCCCAAATAAAGTTTGGAATTTTCCCGTTGGAACTGTCGCCGTTATAAAATATCACTAATTTATATCGAATATATTAATTACGATCTGAATGATATTCTAATTAGTTATTACTATGAAAATTAAAAATTATACAACTATTTGGCATTTTAATTTTCACGATAAATTTATTATCTGCGAAAATAACGTGCGCGACTGGGCTGCATAATGGAAAACTGTAACGAGTTAGTCATAAATTGCATTGTGAAGCACAGATTTTCCTATGGAATTTCTAAACTCGTTGAGGATTTTCTGAGGAATAATTGGCGTTCTTGTTTCTGCCGTCCGTCCAAAAGCATAAATCCATTTTCCTCTTATGGTACCTACTTGTAATCGACCGAGAGAGAAAGCGAGACCCAATGTTCTATCACACGAACATACTCTCCTCGAGATTGTTGAAGAGTGCGCAAGGAAAATTTATGTAAATTTAAAAGTCGTGCAATATCGTGAGCGTTTGAAATGCCGTTAAATCTGAAGAAGCATGAAAGACCTGTTTGTAAATAGTCACGTTGCACATTAGCAAGAATCATTTCGTGAATCATTCAGAACGAATCTGAAAAGTGATTTTTATGCAGTGCAATGATACTCCATCTCTGTCCATTATCTTCCTTTGCAACATTCAACAAACGCTAGAAGAATGGGATTGTACATCGCGATAATAAGATCTTTACATGTCCACAAAAAGAGAGAATCGAAAAGTAAATCTCCCGCGGTGTCCAAGAGACAACATCGTGAGATTTAGACAAATCACTTTTGAGAGACATTCTGATAATGAATAATATCGTGCCCGAAACAGACGACGAATCTGGACTGCCGCCTCCGTCTGCCGACCATCGACGTCCACCGATCGATATAGCGGTGCGATTCTAACGTACAATCTGTTAGTGTAATAAATAAATATGCATTCTCCTCGTACTTATCGTATCCCCGCTCTTTGGTATCTCAGTGACATGTGGACGGGAACGGTGAACGATATCGGGGACGAGAGAGTACAAGAAACTCTGGAAGATCTCAAGATGCACTGAGGAAGTAGTCTTTGAAAATTTATTTCTCCGAGATAAACATTATATGCCACAAATAAATTTTCAAAGACTATTTTCTCCGTGTGAGAGAGTGAAAGGCGGCAGGGAAGGGCAAGAGGGGACGGGAGAAAAAGAGAACAGAGGGAAGGGTGTTATACGAACAAGAATTGCAGGCGGGATCCGACACTTTGTGCTTGTTACCACGCGCCGATACTGAGGACGGTTGAGAGGGAAATAAATAATACGAGTTATCACAAAGAAATGCAGTTTATTTACCACACCGACAAACTGTGACGCAAGCCTATTCGCTATAAGGATAGAGTACAAAAACTTATGATAGATACGCGACGCGCGTGCGGTGGCGGGCGATCCAAGGGTCGTCCGCCACCTCTACCTCCTTTTTCTCGAGTATACGGCTTTAAGAAGCTCGAAAGCGGCAAATTACAAACTGTTTCAGACGCGGACGCGCACGCGCGTATGTGTTTGCACGCGGAGGGCAGAAAAAGAAAAAGAAACGCGGCCACGAAGCTACTCGAGCGACGTGGGGTCACGGTTCAACAAATGTAGGAACAATGGCGCTCGGCCGTAATCAACGATTATCACAATGTATAAAAGAAAATGCAGGTATGCATAGCGTGGATAGTTACGTTCATGAGCGTTCTCCGACAGTACCTTTTTATTCGACGACGTCGGCCAGAGGAGGCGCGAGATGCGCGAGTTTCGGGTAGCAGCAGTCTTTTACGAATCGATATATATTTTTTCCTACGTTTTTGTTGCTGCACTTCCGTCAAATTTCCTACCGTAATATTATTAATCGGTCCCGGCACGATTAATTTATTATGCTCTCTGATTCCGAGATGCTTAGTTTCGATTAAATTAATTGAAATCTGATTTGAATTAGTTGGATATTAATCGGCATTTGGATATGTAATGTTATACGTTAATAATCGCATAATTTATTAAGCAATTAATTAGTAAGAGCTTTGAAATTGTTCTCTTCTCCTTCAGTCAAGCAGTAAAAGAGGTCAAACGGTTTTAAAAAAGCAGTGACGCTCTTCTACGAATTAAACGTCTTGCAACTTGCATTAGATAACGAAATTGGACGAAATTGAACTCAAATAAGAAAATCTAATGATACTTTAAGCGCGGATGAAGCTAATTTTTCTGTGGAGCAAATGAGAGCACGAGTATCCCCTCGGAAAGCTGCTGCGTCGCCACTCGCGACGAGACAGTCCCGTCAGTTTTCCGCGTAAACTCGGCGCGTGGTCCACGGTCTTTCATCCTGAATGCCGAAGCCGAGACGACGCGAGAGACAGAGAGAAAGTGTTGGAGGAACCGGAGGAGAGTCGTATTTGCGTAACGTCAGGGATTACGTTTACACGCCACCCTTAATCGGGTTCAATAACATCCGTAGTTATTAAACTGGCCAATCGCAACTATTCCTCAGAAGAATGGAACGACTGTGATTGGCCAGTTCCTTAACTACGGATGTTATTAAACCCGATTAAGGGCCAGTTTCACAAACATCGGCTAACTGCTAACCAAAGATTAATTGATTCTCCGTCTCTTCTTAGGGCCACTTTCGCAAACATCGGTTAACTGCTAACCGAAGATTAATTGATTCTCTGTCTCTTCTCAAATAATAAGATAGAAAAAGATAGGGGTGTCGACTGAACCCTAGTTAACGGTTAACCGATGTTTGTGAAACTGGCCCTTGAACAATTAGATGGAAAAAGGGGAGTCGACTGAACGCTGGTTAACGGTTAACCGACCTTTGTGAAACTGGTCCTAAGGGTGTCGTGTAACAACACTCAGGGAGAGAGCTCGGCGGAATTAGGGAAACAGACTCGTTAGAACGCTGTAACACAGTACGGACACACAGAAGACGGTGGTTACCATTTGCATCGGTATACTCATACTGGCACCGGGAGTCTCCTCGTGCTCGCCGGGCCCTGACTGCTCGGTGCCCTTTGACCGCGTAGCAACGTTCGCGACTAACGCACCGTTCTCAATGTTAGTTTTTGAGTTTACGAGGTCGGTCGTTTGGGAACGAATCGTGTTCGTGTTCTCCTGCGCACTGCCGTCCCCTACGCGCTCGTCGTCGTAGTCGTCGTCATCGTCGTCGTCGTCTTCGTCGTCGTCGACGTCGTCGTCGTCAAGTATCACCCACCCGTTCTCGTCGATGTCGCCCGTGCTCTCTTCGATCACGTCGATCCCCGTCGCTTCGCTCGCGGACCCGATTCTAGCAACGTCTCGACCGGAAGGGGCTTCAAGCGGTGAGGTAGCCCGGTCGGACTCGCTCTCGGATTCATCGGAGACTAGCCATCCATTCTTACCCAGACTGCTCTGTCTGTACACGTGACTTCTGGGCGGGACCTCGGGTCCTCGTCGTTCGCTCGAGGGAATCATCTCGGCGACGTCAACGATACCCGACCGCGCCAAGGAATCCTCGAAGTTGCTCGACATCTCATCGCGTCTCTCTTCGGCGATTCTTGGAATAATTTCTTCGGTACGCGTCCCCGCTGCGTCGTTGACGTGGGCGATAGGGTCCGCAGTCTCCTCGGATGGGCGATCGACCGTGGATTCAAAATCCAACGGGATTACGGATACCGTTCGCAGATCGGTCTGCGGATCCTCTAGATCTTGCTCCGCGACCACCCAGCCATTGTCGTCGAACATCTCCTCGATGCTCCGCTCGTCGATTATCGAGGCGCTTCGGCGCTTTAAATCCCTCTCGTGACGGTCGTCAGGCGTCACGCTGCTCTCGCCTCGGGTGTTCGAGCTGATACTCAGCACTGTAGTCTCCTCATCACTTTCAGAGTTCGAGGAACCTTTATTCTCCCCGCTAGCCTCGCTAGCCTCAACGTCGTGATTTCCAACGTCCTTCTTCTCCTCCTTTTTCTCGTTCTTCACGTTGCAGTTTTCATCTCGAGACTCGTCGTCCTCTTCCACGTCCAACCCCTCGTCGGAGTCACTCTCGGAATCGCTCTCCGACTCGCTGCCGGACATCGTTCGTCCACTGACGGAACTCGAGCATTCGGAAACGCTGTGAGACTCTTTGGACCTCGAGCGATCTCTGCGCTCGTCGAAATGATCGACGCTTCGACTTGGGAAATCCGACGCCTCGGTGACACGCGCGTCGACATCTTCCACGATGATTTCGAAAGAGCTGGAAACGTCTTCGCAGTCACGATTTTCGGATATCGTTTCTTCCGTGTCGCCTCTTCTCGCGACGGAATCATCTTCGGTCGCGGTAGACTCGTCGCGGCTGCCACCTGCGGCTACCAACCAAGTCTCGTCGCTCCCGGAATGAGCTTGCACTAACACGCCCTCGTCTTCGGGTGTCACACTTGTAATGCGATTGTCGCCGCGGAGATTTTCGGGTTCGCTAATCGCGAGGTGGGAAGAGGTGGATGAGACGGTCGATTTGTCCGTAATAATAACGTCCGAGCTAGTGTCCGTCGCCTGCGATTTAACCGCGTCCCCGTCGGCGTCGCCGTCATAAGCGGAACCCGCGATCGTAGCCGCGATTACTTTACCGTCGTCGACGCGACCGGCCGAGCACCTTTCGTCGGTACCGTCCGCGCTAAACGCCCTAAAACGATTACGGTCGAGGGGGTTACTGGAATTAGAAGTGGCCTCATCATGAGCAGTCGCTTGACCGTGAGCTACGTGCGCTACGAACCTGCTGGTGTAGCCGCCCGGCGTCGACGTCGTCGTCGTCATCGCGGCGCCGCCGCCGCCGCCGCCACCGCCGCCGCTCGGCGTCGTCATCGTCGTCGTCACGGATTGCGCGGGGCTGCCCCTCGGCGACGAATACCTGAGACACGAGTGATCGGTCGGAACTTTCTCTCCTTACTCTAGACTTCTCGCTACTGCTACTACTATTACTAAGGGGGTGGTGCTTTGGGGGGTGCCGGCCACCTGATTGAGAGAAACTCAAGAACGCAACTCGTCGAACGTAGCACACCGGCTCCGATAATCTTTCTCTCTTTAAGATCGAGGTCACGTTTATTTTTTAACTGCTGACTGTTAGGTTTATCGCGCGTATTCCATTAGGATCGAGGCGCGAGATTGCACGATTAACGAGCCGTGGTGATCCTGCTCTATTTGTATTTATTCTATCTTACTCTACACGTCTCAAGCTGACCCAGTGTCCAGTTATCTAATTTTATTCTCAGTTAATAATATACTGTGTAAAAACGATGACGACGCGATACCGCTTTGTATTCAGAGCGCAACAGTTAATCGTCCACGTTAGACCAGAATAGAAGACTAGAATGGTCGGACTGGAACTAAAAGTTTACTTTTGTGCGAAGCACCGAGCGACATTTCAATCAAGTAGTCAATTCAAACGATGATACAAATTAAGTTGATTAGTTTTTTTAGGTGGAAAGTGGACGCACCGTTCTACCACGTGCTTCTCGAGTGCAAACGCGTGCTCGCGGCCGAATTTACGCGCCCTAATGTATTACAATTCATCGCCAGACTGAGCGGCTAATCAGTTTCCGCAGCGCTACGTGGAAAGTTTCTGATAGCAGCGGGCGCGATGGGGAACGGGCCACGTGATTCTTTTACAAAAGCCGGAGGCTTGAAGGGAGCCGCTACGCCGGGTCGGGCCAGGGAGAGCACTTACGGCTTCGCCTGGTCTCTCCCTGTTCTCCTAGCCGTCTCTCGTTTCCTTAGGCCACAGTTTCGAGCGAGGGGATCGCGTCTGTCAGAGGAAGGGGACGGAGTAAGCTTACTTCGAAATTCAGCGCGAGCGAGCGCATTCGTATGCTCTCGAATGCGACGGTAGAGAACGTCGGGATGCGTGCACGCGATGTTGCCGAGAGCGTAACAAGCGCAAATAAACACGGTAACACACGAACGAAAGCTCCGCCATAGTTTCTGCGAGCAGCGAACGTGCAAGTTGACAATATCGGATTTTTGATTAAAAACTGAGTGAGAGAGAGAGAGGGAGGGAGAGAGAGAGAGAGAGAGAGAGAGAGAGAGAGAGAGAGAGAGAGAGAGAGAGAGAGAGAGAGATTTTCGCGAGACGGATATCGTCGATTGAGAACTGTATATCAAAGAAGAAGAGTAGAGAAAGAAGGAATTGCAGTTAACTTTCCTAATTTCGTATCGAAAAAGGAAAATGAACCAAGATTCTAAATATTTTACTTTATCGTTCTGATTTTGCGACCTTGTGGCATACCATTTTGGTAGAAAACTCTCATTAATTTTCCTATTTTGCTTTTTATTATCTCAACTATCCGTACTTTTCATAATCGTGCATAGATTCTATTCATATTTGATAACAACAGGAATCAGTAGAGATTCAAAGAGGCATTAATCATCAATTGCGATGATTAAATTTCTATTACTTCATTACTATGTGATATCAGCTTTAATTTAACAAATGAACGATATTGTCCCTTAAATTCATTAAACTGGATTAGTTTAATTGTTTATTTTTAATTGATAAAAACAATAGCACACACATACGCACGCACGCTAAACTTTCCAAGAGATATCCCTAAGATATTTCTAAAAGATCTTGTTTGAAATCATAGTTGATTTTCTATCGTCATATTAGTTGAAGATTAAACCTCTCACTTATCATATAAATCCGTTCTTAGAATTGAGAAGTACTTGCCTGGTGGAAGGCGAATCTTCCTTGCTTCCTCTTCTAGCCTCGGCGCTGCGAGCGAGCAAAGGCCCGATGTCGGTGCGTGCCATGGCGGATTCGCTTCTCTGGCGATCTTGAGAAGCCACGGAAGCCGCGGTTGGGGTAGTCTTGGACGGATGACCCTCCGTTTCCGACTCTTCTTCAGTGTCCGACTCCGTTTCCTCGGAAGAGCTGCTTGTCTCCTCGTCTTCGTCCTCCTCTTCCTTCTTTTTCGCCGCTGGTTCCTCCCGCGGCGTCTGAACCGGCGGTGGTGGAGCCGCACGGTTACCTGAAAATTCCGGAGGTTCACGCCAACGTGATTTCCACCTTTAATCCTACACTTGGTGAAATTAAAAAATTTAACAACACACAAAAGTGGCCGATCGTCGTGGCCAACCGTCGACGCTTCAAAATTGCAAAAGGGTCGGAGAATATTTTAATTTGAAAAATTAAAGCCAAGAACTTTCTATTCCATACATTTTATAGGAAAATCAGATTTGGCTTTAACATAAAGATACATGTCGAGCTAAGGAACGCAGTCACGAACGAAGGACACGGTGAGCGACAAGCGGTGAGGATCTGTCGCGGCGCATGGGAATGTGCGTTTATGCAATCTCAGGTGCAGGAAGAGGGTGTCTTTCGCCTTTCGCGCCGTCTACGTGTTCACGGTTGACGGAAACACGACGAGAAAACGGACCGATCGTATCGACTGACAGCGGTGGTCGGAAACAAGAGGTAGACAACGCGAATATCGCCACGTCCGCTCGCGTATCTCGTTTACGGCGAGATGCATTGCCTACGACTTAACGCGCCGGTTTGAGCGGAGATATGACAACCGGGACACAGCGTGTCGGGAAAGCGAAGCGACAGCATTAATTAAAAAGCGCTGTGAATGGATAACGTAATTATCGTGTCGCGCGCTACTCCGCGCCTGCTGCTTGCCGACTGCTACCGATTTCGGCTCTCGAATCTTGAAATATCGCACCGGACACGGCATCTCGCAGATCCATTTTCGAATTGCAACGTTGTAGCACGATCGTGCTGGCAGTCTACGGCAGCGTTTTACGTACACCCCTCGCATACAGGATCAGGGCGATTGTAATGGACACGCGGACATTCATCGAACACGAAACGCCTTCCATCCGAGGTTTACCTATTCCACTAAATTTCGTTAAACGCCCTGTTCCGATTTCTCTCGAGAAACTCTTCGAGGTATTTAACGTATCAAAAGATACTTAAGAATTTCACTGTTTATTTCAATATTTTTCTGGTATCTTCCGCGTTGTCGATGACGCACCCTCAGAAAGGATTTCTGTTACCGAGACAAAAATATTCTTGACGCATTTATATTTCTCACGACCTCATTTAGTATGAAAATAAGACAATATCAAAATAAAAAAATCAATAATTCTTATTCTCCTCTATCGAATTAAAAAAAGATTGACTTACTATATTGAGACAAGAGTAATTTATATAAATGCAAGTTTATATATTCTTGCGTTTAGAATAAATTTCTCCTCCATATTACAACGCACGAAGCTGGCACCATGATATTCGACAAAAGACGATCCATACTACCATTTTATCTTAGATTTTAGAATTTTTCATTTATAATTAAAATATTCCTTTCTCTATAATAAATATGATTGACGCTACATCGATCCTATTTTATGATACATTCAAGTGTAATAGCATTGGATCCGGAAATTTTTTCTGTGGGTGCGACAATTTAAAATGTATCATAAAACTATTTTTACTTAATTTTATCTACTGAAAATGTTTTGTTATCCGAGGGGCTGTTATCCGAGAGTTTTATGCGTAAATTAAGTCTCCCGAAATAGAGGCGGAAGGTTAAACGCAAATTTGTCTGCACATCCAATTTCCGTGAGATGCTCGACGGAGTACTGAGAAATACAATAGACGCGCTAGACGGGATTAGCGTACGAAGCGAGCGGAGACGTGCTTTCGATTCTCTTCGTATAAACAATGGGTAATAGGCACACAACGAAATTGGGACGTGTCGCGGATAGAACGGTTCCTAGCTGCGAACGTGATAAAACCCTTCGATCACTATCCACTGCATTGTTCCCGCTTCAGTGCGACACGCAAATTAATTCTACGCAATCTTTTGAGTGCTGCCAATACTTTACGCGCATCTATTAAATTGCAATTGTTTCCTCTTTCTTTTTAGCGGTTAGAGAGAGAGTCCACAGTGGAAATTGTTTCCCAATGGAAAAGAGCCACGAACGATTATTATATCGTATTTTATGATACATTGAAGCGTAATAGCATTGGATCCGGAAGTTCTTTCTGTGGGTGCATCAGTAATTGCACGGTTAATTACCTGCGCCTAAAAAACGGCTCTGAAACGGTGCTCTGGGGGCCGGTGGGGCGGCGTTCGATGACTCTCTGCCGGTTGCGGTGGAGACGGTGGTCGTCGTGCTGGTCGGGGGTGCTCTCGACAGGTACTTCTGCTTCATCTCCTCGGTCGTGAACGGCGCGCCCGTACTGCGTATCCCGGATCCCGCCGAGCTCTCGGAGCCGGTGCTCGAGTCCGACGAGGCACTCCTGGCCGCGGGGGGAGCGTGAGTTTCCGCCGAAGTTCTCCTGCGCGAGCAACAATATTACAAACAAGCACGTTAATAACGCAGCGTAGAACTCGAACAAGTTACTTGTTTGCGCCGTAACAACGTCGCGCCGCGAGAACTCCGCGCTTAAGTCCGATATAACGCGAGGTACTGCTAGCTAACTGCGAATCCCGCGGTCACCGCCGGCGTGATTAATATCTACGTGAGCAAACATGTCTTCGGGTCTTTCGTTCCTTCGGGGGACCGTGTTGATTTACCGTCTTAATAAATAGTTTTCGCCGGAGTCGAGAGAATTTGTGGTTTTAATGAGGTCTCCACGCGCGACCGTCTTCATTTTTTAAACGCGATCTCGACGTTCGAGTCGACGAATTTCTGACTGGAGAACCATTCGTGTCGTGTCCCATTTACGGTATAACCGAATAACTATTGCATGTATTTCACGAGGTATATTAAGTTTCCGTAGAAATCTTCGGTCTGGATAATTCTTTCACTTAGAATAATTAAGCTGTCAATCGACCATAACTGGCGACGTGTTCGTTGCTTAATTAGCTTTTCGAAAGCTTAATTATTGTTAGTCGTGTACCGGCGTCAAATAATTCATCATCTTTCGCTTAGGTTCGTTACTACAATTTTCATAATAAAGTTTGGCAGTGTTTCGTTCGTTTACCTGGCGACGGCCGGTCTCCTGACCGGCTGCTCCTCCGGTTCCCGTTCCGGAAGTTCTCTCGACGGCGGCGGGTGACCGGAAACGGGCGTCGGCTGCCTCTCCTCCACCGTTTCGGGGTGGACGGCGGTGGCGGTCGCCGCGGCGTTCTTGTTCTGCTTCTTGATCCTCGAGATCTCGTCGTCCTCGCTGGTCTGTCTCGCCACCGCGGTCGGTACCTTTCGCACTTGTACCTGCGCGTCAAAAAATCACTTATGGCGAGAATACTGCGGCGTTCCGCCACACGTTGCACCATCGGTGTAATCGCGATCGAACCTCGCTCAATTCCCTTCGTGATTTGCAATCCGGATCGTTCGTTTCCCCCTCGAGTGCCGGGGGGAGAGTTTACGATCGGGGGTGTCCGTTCGCGCCAGCCGCACGATGCGCCGCGCGATTTATTGGGGCCGCGAAATCCGCACGTGCATTTAAATGCAACGTTATGGCACGTACGCGACAGGTGGCGAATACGTGAATCGGCACGGCAATTACAGGATGCGTCGCGCGCCCGCGAGTACATAGCGACGTAATAAGCAGGGGGTGCGTGATACGGGATTAAGTGGGTGGCGTAGTGATGAGATGTAATAATAAAAGTGTAAAATTACTGTATTGTTACCTTACACATTTGCAGCATTTCATGCACAAAATACAACGTTTCAATGATGTAGGTCAGCTCGCTCGATATATCACTCTTTCTCTCTCTATCGTCACCGACAATATCCTATCTATATGTACACACGTATTGCCTATGGCTAACGCTCTACCGGTACGCGCAAATCATAGAAAATTAACGCTATATATTTCACATAATGATTGGCACTTTGTTGACCGCATTCGTAGGAATGACACTCGCTCGTCATCGCGTATATTGTACTCGATATAAATCATCGTGGACGTAAGATAACGGTCCTCGTTACATGTACGAGTCAACATTTGTGTTTGTACGTTCATTGAGCGTTTTGACACCAGCCGCTATCATCCGAACAATGGGATGCGCGGCATCGAACAAATTTCGTTCGTTGCACTGGCCGTCAGCATGGAGAGTTCGTGCCCATCCGTTAATTTCTCCCGCCATAACAAGGGTTTCCTTGTGCAAAAGTGCGGAGGTATCACTGTCAAAAATAAATACGATGTCGTCAAATTCACGAACGCCCATTCAAGTCGTGGTGCTTAATTAATTAATTATTTAATTATGTCATCACTCATTATCAGCTCGATATCAAAATTTATAAGCCAAATCAGAGATCTGTAGTTTTCTTCAATGCATCAACATTGTGTCGCTATTCATATATCTTTTCCAACTTTTTACTCTTAACAATTACGTCGAATAATCTGACACGACTGGCTACGTGAAAATTTTCCTTTATTGTAACACAACGTTTCGGCCATGGGTTTTGGCCCTTTTCAAACGTATTCTACAGCATCTAGTCGGCGTATGGCATGTGGTCAAGTGCCATTAGGCCCACTGGACAGAAATGAGAACGTCGGGATAATTACTTATATATACCAGTGTGATTTAGAACGGAAATAAATTGAATAAGTTAAATAAAATAATTAAATAAATAGACGCTGTAGAATACGCTTGAAAAGGGCCAAAGCCAATGGCCGAAACGTTGTGTCACAATAAAGGAAATTTTCCCGTAGCCAGTTGTGTCGGATTATTCAACCCAATCGTTAATTAACCACTGGCGATTCAACGTTCCTGCTTGTTTTTACTCTAACATAAACCGAGGAGAAGGTGTAGAGAATTATTGTTACGTTTCGTTGCCTCATCAAAATGTACAGTTTCCCCGTTTGTCTATTACCGATATCTCCGTGTTATCAAATTACAGCGGCCACGGCGTGTTTTTCCGAGTGTTTTCTAAAAGTGCATGCAAGGCTAATTAAATAGCATTTATTGAGCACACTCGTGGCCGTAAATTGACTGTATCGCCGACGTTTAGCCGTTTAAATATTGATGCGACGCGGTGATATACGGTGTATCGATAAGCAGGGGAACGGCGATTAAATTCACTGATACGTTTCTCTGTAGAGGATGCACATTTTCGGCGTAAAAAAAATTTACGCCGGCCAGCGGATTTGCATATAGATCCCGGGCGATTGCTCGATTGTCCGATTCAATCAACTGAGCTCCGTGCCGCATCAACATTTAAAATATGAACGTCGAGGGAGAAAAACAAATGGGTCAATGGTGTAACCATGTGTTACATCGATAAAAAAAAAACACGGCTGTCCGTCGAGGATTATTTGTCGATTGGTACGGATCTATTGATGCGAATATTTATAAAATTGTTGTTGTCACGAAATGCGAAACGAATGTATCAGTGTCGCTTTTATCAACAACCGCGCTCGGCGTTATCTACATCGCTATAATTTTGCAAGGATTTTTTTTCTGGCTCGAGTACACATTGCCGAAATAATAATACTGTTCCAGGTACAGTCACGTTTTTAATGTGAAACCTATCACAACAGCGGATGTTTATGGAAGTTGGCGTCGAGGGAAGCAAATCGATATCCCAATATAAGAACTGAGCGACCTAAGATGGCTTATGTACGAAGGGTTGAGAGAGGCCTTACATATAGAATTCATATATAGCATAAAAATATATTTCGTATACATATAACGAATGTATTTCTAGATTACGCTGTCACCTTGAATTTTTATTAGCAACGAAAGCTGTATATATTTATGATGATATGTCATAATTTTTTTATCCCAGAACATACGCGTTGCATTTTATTTCGAAATTTTCAACATCGCGTCGAGCTTGCCAAATAAAAGCGTGCTGTAACTTTAAATATTTGCGCTGTTAATAATAATCTCGACGCGTTGATTTTTACTTTACGGATAATTAATTATTTACCACAGAAATAAAGAAATATGTGGAATGTATACTTACCAAGTACAGCGATTATATTATTCTCAAACTCTTGTTGACAAACCACCGTATCAAAAATGCAATTTGTGCAAACGATAACTACTTTGATCGAGATTAGACAGCAAATTGATTCTTCTGCGCCATTTAATCCGATCTGAATATTACATTCATATTCCTTTTGTTCGCAATTAAGCGCACCGGCATACTTTGTACGGGCAATATATTGCTGTACCGCTAAATAGCTTCAAATTAACAATCTAAGTTCAGAGCTAAAGCAGATCAGGTTTCCAATCTGCAGTCGAGTTTCATCTGCAAGATCCAAGATCGATCTTCAGATGTGCAAGCGTAACTAAATCTAAATTTTGGACCTTGACCCACTTGAGCTTTGAGGACCTTAACGTCTAGGCTGTCAGAAGCGTGCTGTTCTAACCTGTGGCTTAGGCGGTTGTGGTTGCGGCGCAGGCTGACTCGCCGGCTCCTCCTTCTTCCTCTTGCCGGCACGCTCGCACTCCTGCAGCTTCTTCATGACCCGCGGCGAGTCTGTCAGGCGAAATATTCCGGACAGGGGACCACGTGCGGCGTCCTCCGTATCCAGAACGCGCTCCCGCATGCCGGACGACTCCTGCGGCGCCGATGTGAATCTCACCGTCGACCTCGAGTCACCGTCGGAATCGTCGCCGTCCCGATGCCGCATAAATCGACTCCTGTACCTGGACTTGTTCCTGGGCACCTCGTACTCCGGCGCGTCGTACCTGGCACACACGTACAAACACTCGCATACACACGCGTACTGCGACGGCGTCGATTAATTAGGACCGTTGCCGAGGGGGTGATTCTGGATCGGGAGAAATCACCGACAGTGATTTCTCCTTACGCCATTGACAATCCGCTTCCGCAAATTGGAAGCGGATTGAAATTATACACCGGGAAAAAATGCTGTTGAATTGAGCAAAATGAAGTTGCTTGAATTGAACGTTAACGTCACGCGCTGCCACAAACATAAATAATTCACTCAATTCTATTTGCTATGGATTTTAATTTTAAGCATTCAACTAAATATCTAGACAACAATATGATGTTTTACATCTATTAATACTGATTGTTTCGACGATTTTATTTCAATTATACTGATCTTGATACAACAGCATTCTCTTTTCCGTGTATAAATGGAATAGAGTAGACAATCTTAGACGGTTCTTATCGCGACGAACTTTCTTGTCAAATCTCAGCTTCAGAATGATCTTTATAATGATCTGTAACGAGACTTAACGGCAACGATACCAAATCAAAGCACATCTAGAATAAAATATCATTGTATTGGAATAGACATTGCTCGGTTAATATGCTAGCGAATATGCTTTCTAATAAAAATTCTTAATAAATAATATTAATATTATCATTTTACTTAATTTATGTATATGAGAAAAGACTATTGGATATTATCGAACGAGGTACGTAGATCATGTCAGTCATAGGTCGGGCACGTGTATCAACTTAGATCGTGTGAATATATAAAAAAGTCTCTCTTCTCCCCGAAGGCGGATAACAACTTATTCTCGCGCGCAGATGTCGCAAGGACACGTGTCTCTGATATATGTCACTTGAAATTATGACAAGGGGGAGAGGAACCAATGAGCAAGCTCTACCTAGGCTGAAACGCGACCTGCTTTATAGTCAGATTATCTCACTTCGATTCGAGAGGACGTTCCGGAGGATTGCCGATGACAGGACGAAATGATATTAGGGGATCTCCCCGTCTTCTACTCCCATATCGTACCTTCCGATATTCCCTCGAAACTCGCTGATAGATCCTACCGAATTTTCGCCCTTATCTTTTGACTCTTTAAACGTCGAAGCGCCCTGTCAACAGTGCCAAGTGCATTCCGACAGCAACAGTATATACACGTGAGTGTTTTAGCCAAGGAATTATAAGTGGAAAATCGAACTTTAATAGCGGCCCATTTAATATTAGTTCTAAGGGTTCGTGACAGTATCAAAAGTATTCGAGGATTCAATAAAAAGAATTGTATAAAAAATTAGAACGGCGTATTTGAATTTTGTGCTTCTAGCAAAAAGAGCCTCTAATTTAGTATACATGCATTGTTGGAATTGAAAAAATGGAAAAGTTTTGTGCACCGTTTTCTGATTGTGATCAGTAAAGTCGTGAGAAAAAACGATGCTCTTTACTCGAGTTACTTGATTTACGAGAACTGTGTGGCAGATCACTGTGTGATTAGCTATACGCGTACCGAAAAATCAATAGATAGATAAACTCTGGAACAGGATATATACTCAGTCTATACAATAATAGTCTTCGGTGAATACCAATAAAAAAATCAGTACATACATCAGTCTTTTAATCAAAGTCAGTTTGAAACGTCAGTAATTCGTCGGAGGAATTGCAATATCGCGTTCTACGAAATCCCCTGTGAGAAGTAACCTTGTTCATGGATTGCAATAAAATTCAACCGAAGCGGATGGTCAAAGATAAATAATTAGACGCGAGCTTTGAGAGTTGACCGCTTTCAGATCGGAGGGATGCAGTTATTAAAAAAGTTGACGTCGTGCATTTTTAAGCGAGAGTCTTAAGAATACCTCAGCAAACAATGGCTGTTTCTTAAAGTAATATTAATTATTTCAACAGCACGATATTGTATCGCGGAAACTCATACAATAACATTTTGCTATTAATACTATCTTTTATATAAATTACATTTAGAATATTAAAATATATTCCATTTTTAATTTATAAATTATGAAATTATCGAATTAATAAATAAGTGACAAATTATTAATATTTTAATGAGATTAAATACAAATTTTATTTAATACGTGGCTCTAAATTTTATCTCAATAATATACGTGTGTATAATTCTTTATTTGTTTGCAATTATATAAAGATTATATATATATATGCATAATATATGCATATGTATACATTGCGTTTAAAATTCCTTGATTTTTTGATCCGTCTATCTGCATTTGCACTATTTGCAGTATCATCGGGCATTATCGATTTTAGGCACTTAACCATTTAGCTACATTTCCGTGATATGATATCAGGCGTTGTCACGCTCCAAAACGTTGGCAAAGAACACACGCCAGAAATTGCGACGGCAATAACGGTCGTTTGTATATTTCAGCTTTTCACGCGACGCAAAACAGAGAGCGATCAGAACGCGCGCTTTTCAGAAACGTATTGTGAAAAAAGCACGAATAATGGAATTTTCACTCGAATATCACAAGGCAAGTGTCAAAAATAAACACCGCGGCGCGCGCACGTTTCGCGGACAGTGGAAACGCATCGCGCGAGATTCATTTACAATTCGAGCGATATCTGCGTTCGAACGCAACCGACAAATTGATGAGACCTTCACGGCGAATAATGGTATTTTCTCTAATAATCGCACAAAACGATCATGATTGCCGTAATTATATAACAAACGCAATATAGACGGCACGGGGCAGGATAGGCCGCGATTCCCGCATGTGAAGTAGGTCTTTGCAGTACGCGAGAGCGTTAATTACTAAAAAGTACGTGCTCGCGCGTACCTAAAGCATTTAATTTACATTTTGACGAGGCCGCTTAATAAAACGGCCCGGCGAGAGGCTCTAACGACCGACATTGCATGAAACAGGCAGCAATTAAACCCGGCGCGCCTATTCCAAGCTGAAGGTACCTTTCAGCTGGAATGAAAGGAAAGAGGGAAAGAAAGAGAAAAAGGAAGGAAGAGGAGTGGAAAGACGGAGAAAATGAAAAGATACCGAAACTACGCGTATTTATAACTTATACTGGAATAAACATGCGAGGTATTTCGGAAAGTGCACTCTTCTTCAGCAGTGCGCCTTAAAGTACGTTAAAATCTTTTGAAGTACCTAAATGTTTGACGCGTTTCAACATACGCATCTAGTGTACTGGAAAACTGAAAAAGAGTTTTGCGGTTATTTCAATGCGAGCCATTTTAAGGTATGAATATTGATAAATACATTCGAAAATTTTCATACTTGGCTATCAATTGAAATTATTCTCTGCCAGAATATACTTCTCGTCAAACATTTGAAGCATATAATAATTAAAATGCAATATTTTTCCCTATATCGTTACCGTGTCGTTAAAATTAATAGTCGCAATGAACACTTGTATTATTTAATACGTCACGTGTGTGAGAGACATGTGAAAATTATAATTTCGAGAATAATTAATGTTATAAAGGGTGTAATAAAGTCTGCTTAGCAAGATTAAATCCGAGCAAAGTCAACTATATTCGACGATATTGTAAGGACTAAGAAAGTAACCACCTCATATATAATCGTGGGACAGTGTCTTCGAAATCATTATGAAATCCTTACTTTGAGGTTTAATAGCGTTACATATTTTTAAACGTGTAAAAATGAAATCGCATGAAATCAAATAAAATCGTGTAATCGATGGGACTTTTTAGCTAGTGGTTACCCCCTTGGTAAGGACTGTTTGAAGAAAGCACGGATCTGATTAAAGATATCGCTCGATTAACCCCGACTCCCTTAAACTGCACCGTAAATATGTCCTTCTCGGACTTGCGAGAAACACTTGCCAGGCACGTACCAATCATCGTTGCGCGTCGATCTGATGGCATACCTGGCGCCGTTTGTGCTACTGCGCGAGCGGAATATTAATACGTTCCATTATCTGGCGCCTCGCTGCAAAGAGCCAACGGTGCCCGTGTGTTATCGGGTACCGATCTGTTACACCTTCGCAGCAATAAACAATAAAACGTCGCGCGCGTGCCCGGAACGCTTTTACCCCACGGTTCGATTTCCGAAGAAATATATCGGTCGCAATTGTTCACGGTCATCTCACGGGCGTATCAGCGAGATACGTCCCCGTAAATAAGACGAAACTGCGAATTTTCGCGACGGCTGATTTATCGTTTCGAAAACAGACTGAATCTCGGCACCATAAATTAAGGAGTAGCGCTCGATCTCAGGTCGTCCGAACGGGATCCAAGGACTTCTCGTCTCCATCGACTGCCTTGCAGTTTTTAATCGGCCCCGAGGCAAATTGATCTCACTGATAAATAGCGGAAGAAATGGCTTTTCCATCTCGACATTTATTTTTATAATCCACCTAGACTGGCACTGGTCTAAAAGCTCGAAGCTTGTATAAGTAGCTTTTCTGAAAAAAAATAAGAGTTTCTATTTCGCGCCCCGAACGGTTTTCCCTCCCAAACCGGTATTTCCATATTCCCCAAGCTGTACGAAGTACGTATACATGTCTGGTATTACTTTCGGAAAAATTTGTATCGTTTTATAAGACGATATTTCTGCCGCAATATCAAGGAAACGTAAGAGCGCTTTGCGGCAAGTACACGGAACACAATAAAAAAAAGAACAAATAAATTGTCCCAATACTTTTTCTGTAAATCAATATTAGAAACAATATAAAGCGAACAGAAATACGATCAAGTTTAATTCGTACTTGTCGCAAACAAACGGCTCGCGACGCTTAGAACGACGGTGGAAAGAGCAATTGATTTTTTTCTCACCGTCCGTAATACTCGGGGAATAATACTCGGAGCACTCGAGAAGAGAGACGTAAGAAGTAGCGATAGTTACTCGTATTCAGGAACGTATCGATTCCTGGCCAGCCGTTCCTCCTCTTGCTGCCTGTACTGCGAGGCGAGACGGTGATCGCTCTTGCTCCTCATAAGACCGGGCGAGCCCACTGGTGGGGCTAAACTGCTCGAGCTCCCCAGCAATCCGCCGCTTCCGCTTTCCGGTTTAATGTTCAATTCACCGTAACCCGCCACGTGAAGGACAAGCTGATTCGGATCGTGCGCCATCACGAAGCGGACTCGTCGGTTGTAATCCCCCGCCTCGTATTCGAAGTTCCTGCGGAGAACAATCGTTCATCTTCATTCGCCGAGAGATATGACAGACCGCTAACTGTACGAATTAAGTTTTGCGAAATCGATAATGATCGTATCGCGGACTGTGCTGTGTGAAGTCGAGAGGAGTTGTGATAGAAATACCAATCTTCTTGTCATCGCGCAATATTACATTTATCAAAGCACTTCTGTACCGAGCGCGATTAAGACGATTCATTAATTTCACCTTTGCGTGATTTTCGTTATGTATACGTTTGATATAAATAAAAATAATCGAAAGAAAACTGGAACTGTATTGTCTTCGCGACGCCGAGCGCTTCCGCTTGATTGAATTTCGATATGGCGCGGCGATTCCATTTGTATAATGCATTTGGGAAGAATTGCCTGCAACTTCGCATCTCGATTTAGCATACGGTAACGCGTGCATTTAAAATTCATCGCAACGTTAATTCGACAATGCTAATTACCGACAAAGTGCATTATCTTATCGCGGCATTGCGATCGCGCGATTTTAGGTACAGCCATTTCCGCAATTGAAATGCCCACCCTTCGATGTTTTTGCGTAACACGATTATTGTAGGCACTTCGGTTAATGAACTAATAATTTTGTTACGCGGCGCGATTTGCGCCTGCGATTTACGACAGATTTTGCGCGCGTTACACATTTCATAATGGTGTGTGCGTGGCAATGCTGAACGTTAATAATTACATTATCTAACAGCAGATTTCCGATACAGTCACAATGCTATTATCACAAATCTCCCGGAACTCGTATGCTGCCAATATCGACATATTCATCTCGGCAGCGTTCAAATTATTTCAGAGTATCGCTGTTATCCTAAAGGTTTATGTTTATTTATTACGTCGCGGTACGCCTGAGAGGCAGGCTGTACATTTTTCAGCGATTGTATTTTATAGAGAAGCAGAAAATAATATTTTATCATGAAAAATAAATATTTTTTCCTCGATAATAAACACGGTAAATGCAATTTTTTTGCCTTAGTTAAACATAGTTGCGACAAACAGTTCCCCCCTTCCCCTCCCACCGTTAGAAAGAAAACAGCTGTGATAATTTTACGTGGGCGTTACTAAATTAAAATAGAATCGAAGTAGTGAAGCGCCACTACTGATCCCGAAACTGGAATAAAATAGCTCGCGGGAGAGACGGAATCGTTTAACGATTTCTTCCCGATCTACGCCGTAAAAAGAAGAGGGGCGGGAGACCGCAAGAACAGATAGCTGATAATAAATCGTACAAGGACACGGCCGCGCGGTTTAACGAGCGAGCGTCCCAAAAGAAAAGGGAGATTACAGGGCAACAAACCTGATAAATTCCACCGTACGTAAGAAGAGTTCCTTTGTGTCCAAGAGCTCGGCGTCGTCCCACGGCACGTTTTCATTTATGTGCGCCTCCGCCAGATCGCAGTTGCTCTGGATATTCGCGATTTCCAATTCGAGATTCTCTTTGAGCTGAATCAGGCCTCTGAGCTCGGTGCCGAGGTATCGATCGACCTCGTTACGCAGATGTTCCGTACGGTCTTTCAAAGCCTTGCTCAGCCTCCGATAAATCTCGTCCACTTCTTCGGCGACCGAGGCGCAATTTGTCTGCAGGCCCAACGTGTTCTTCTCCACCAGGGCCAGCGCGTCCTGGAGTCTGTGCAATCCCCTGCGTACCTGTGAACGCACAACCGGTGCATACCCGGGGTTTGACAAGCCGGAAATGCAATTCCGCGTTAAGCCTAAGCGCGCTGCGATATCGCAATTGCGATATCGATTATGCAAATGGCAAGTGGATAAACGCGAATAAACGCGTCCAATTTTCATTATCGTTGTATGTAAATGTAAATTTAAAGCGTTATTCGCACACAGATTCAGTCTCTTAGAAGTATTGCTAATGCATAACAACACTAAAAGACATAATAGCGCAAAAATAAAAGCGTCATATTATCATTTACATGTTTTCGATGTCTTGTTTTTATTCCTAATATTTTTAGAATCATATACGGAAGTTCGCTTCCAATATACGTTCTATTTTTATTCCTAATATTTTCGAAATCATATATGAAAGCTTGCTTTCGATATACTGAAATTTCTCGGTTTAGATGCTTTTGGGGCAGCCAAACGTACCGATCATTATATTTAGGCTTCATTATAGTTATGCATGGCCTAGATACGTATGTGGAAGCCTGAACGAACGCGAAGCAAACTTAGTTAAATTAATAAACGGTTTGGGCTCAAAAATATCCTGTTGTCAGCGCAAGGCTCCAAAAGGGATTCACAATTTTACATGTTTTACGCTCTATAAAAGAGCATTACATTTTCATAGCTATATATAAACCATGTGTAATTATGCCGTCCGTATTGACGTGTATGTCAGCTGTATTGACATGGGTCTGCGCTGACCCAAATTAAATAAAGTCTTCCTCTCTAAGTACCGAGAAATTTCTCCCAAAATTACAGATTGTTCATAGAAAATAATATCCAGATACGGAATTAATCATTCACGATTGCCACTGCTGCAAATAAGAGAAAAAACAGCTTCGCAAATAATTTGTCTAAGAATTTCGCAGAATCTGCGGTTTATAGATGTATTATAGTCACATCATGTATAATTCGTTGTACACATCTCGTAATGTAGCAACAAATAATGCTAAAAAAATATGGAAAAGTTATTATATTCTAGATAATGTACCTCATGTTTTTAAAGTTGAGCAAGCGTGCTCAGCGATTGGTAGATTGGTTTATCGAAGAAGAAAAAAGAAGCAGAGCTGTGCAGGCAGCTTAAATACGGCGAAAATGTATACATGACGGAGATTTGACTTGGAAAATACAATACCCGAAGAATCGGTGAAATATTTGTTACAATTTTGCACAACCGATATTGGCATATAAATGGAGAGTAATGTAAATAAAAGAAACCGCGAAACTTGAATATGGATCGAGACAACAACGTTACAACAAACTGTTGCATTAATGCGCAGAGAAAAACTTTGAGTCGATTATTACGATATGTTAAAAGAAGCCGCCTTTGCAAAAGTACGACAAAGATAACAAATAAATAATAAGGATAACGTCGACAATTAACTGGCTCAATATATTTCGTTTAGAAAATACAACGTTTCGACCAGTAATACTGGTCCTTATCAAGTATTAAAAAGTTCTTAACCCATTAGATGTGACAGCAAAAAATCTAAAACATGATTAATGTGGAATAAGTCAAATGTTACAAAACTAACGCATTTTAAAACCACATCTTAAGATGTGGTTGAAATGAAAGATAACAAATATTTGCAACTGGTCCTTTTACAAGATTGCGCCGTTTACAAAAATTGTTTCAATGAAAAAATTTACGATTTCGCTAGGAGTATTCGATTATTAATATAATCTCCGAGAGAAAATTGCGGGTGAAAAGATCCAGCCATTTTTTTCCCGCGGTAATTGGCTCATTAGCTGTTTCGGTATGCAACCATCAAGAGAACAGGTATTACAATTACGACGCGCCGCGACCGAGAAATTTGAGATACGTGAGTAATTTCACTCAACTGGTATGGAAAGACTCGAAATTCATGGGTGTCGGCATTATCGCCGATTCGGATTGGAAGGTTTGTTTCATGTGACGATCCGACCGCAAATATCTATGGCGAATTGGTAACATAACGCGATTCGGTGTTACACGCGTATATCGCCAAAAGCGATAAGAATTAATCGAAACTTTCCCCCCCCCCCCCCATCGGCATATTCCAGGAAAGCGTAGATGTTGCAACAAATTGCGCGGGCACCGAATGATAAATCTAACATAAAAGAATCGCCGTGATAACCATTGAGGTAGGTGAGGCAAAATATTGCAAGAGTTGCCGTGTGATCTGAATATTTTTGTAATGCACTTTTATGAGGAAGAAACCGTGTATATAAATTGTATATCGTTACGTACATTTCTTCTCCGTACGACGACGGGAACGGAATCGTGCCTGGTTTACGGAATAAATCCGGAAAATCGTGGGAAAAACCGTCCTATTATTCTGCCGGGAGTTAGAGAAAAGTGCAAGGGACGTGAATGCATTCGCGGGGAGTATCTCGGTGCATTAGCATCATAATTTCTTATGCCGCGGCGAGGACGAGTTGCATCGGCGATTTTACCACGTGCTCCGTCGCGTTTATTTCACCGTTCGATGAGACTCCGAGGCTTTTATGCGCTCCTCAAAACGCCGTGGGATGCTATTTTCGAGGGAAATTTTATGGCCTGTCGCGCGCGGCACTGAAACTGTATAAATCGGTTAAATCGCGAACGATTAAGATAAACAAATCAAATTTTTTGGACGAGATATTGTGCACGCGCCGGGTGAGCACGTGTACGAAAGTATTTGTCGTTCCCGCGCAATGCGATAATCAATGAAATTTTCCAGAGTGCAGGATAGAAATTGTATTAATGGCTTAAATTACACACGATAGACGATAGACACGGTATATACCTCTTTCGCGTGAGTTTTATATAGAATAAAATGCCCAAAAATATCATCCTTTCGACGTGTTGAGCGTAAACGCAATTTTACAAAGTGTTATACCGTAAATGGAACATTGCGCGAGTTCTTTTCAAATTGATTAAATCGGGTGCTATTAAAATAAATAAAACGAGCTTTTTCAAGGGGGATTATTTTACACAACGTATCGCGGGATAAATAGTTCACATTTTTTCCCTCTCTGGCTGCCTTTAAAAATAATAATTCTTTATTGCTTTTTATGTGCACAAAGCACGGTGCGCACATTTTCGCGATTTTCCGTGACATCCGTTAAATCGAAGGTAATAAAAATTAATTAAGCCTAGCCATTTAATGCCGCTGAAACAGTCGATGTTTTCCGCAGATTCCAGCGTCGCAATCGCGTGTCCATGCAATAATGAGATCCGGCACATTAGAGGCTCAACTGTGCGGCTGGACGCCTCGCGATACGGAAGTCCGGTTGTTAACTAATTAAAACCGGCAATTCGCTTTACGCCGTTTCGTAAGCCAAGCTCTCACCGATTTATTAGTCGCCTTCGAAAAGATTCACGGCGCTGGAATTTGTTCATTAACTAATTAAATCACGGAAAATGTACAACAAGGCGTAGAAATGAAATATGAATTGCTCTAGACACAAAGTATAAAAACTTGTTTGCCTTCCGCGCAGTAAATAAATTAATGTAATTAAAAAGCAGAAAGCTCATGTATACCAGACGTCCTAGATTCCTCGCGCTGCTGTTTCATCTAGACATTTTATTGCCAATTATCATAACCCATTATCTTTCTTTGGGAAAAATTTAATTACATTTTATATAGTTGTTTATAATGTTCAGACGTTTTTGCAACGATATTGTGCAAATAAAACTTTGTCAAAGAAAAACGCATTTTAATATGTAACAATTTCAAAGAAGTCCAGAATTAAGCATTTATAACAGACAGATAACAGCGCGATTTCCTGCCATCCGCCTCGTTTTCGATCCACGCTCACACTTCTGAATAATCGTCTATCATAATGAAACATAAACGGCGATCAGCATCGTTGATTCTCAGGGAATCCAAACGGGGAGAGCGGAGCCATATTTCAGGCACGCGCGCACAATTTCCATGGCACAGAGGAAGACCTGACAGATTCGACAGAGTCGTGTTAGCAACTTTGATCGTTGAAATGTGTTCGCGAGTCAGTGCGATATTCCCGCTTGTCGAAGCGCGATCTCGGACTGTCTCTGGACTGTCTCAAAGACGATCGCGCCTCGAAGTTTATTCCGTCACTCGAAATAGATGTGATTCATCGAGGTGCTCCTGGAGACACACGGCGAATTCGCACGACCCCGGACGTCGTCCCGTTCAATGAATACAATTTGTCTTGCGCAGCTCCTGATACCGTATTATCAAGTGATAAATTTCGGCCCGTAACAGTCGCGGCCTCCTTTTCTTAATTAAATCGTTACCTCGGACGTAATTTATATCACCGAGAATTATTTGACGCCAGTAAATGACTAATAATGATTAAGCTTCTAATCGACCATGACTGCCGATGTGTTTTTAACACAGAAAATTTATTGCGAAAAATACTACCTCGGCCAGGGTTTGAACCTGGACCTCCCTACTCCCTCTAATCATTGTAATTTATATCGCCTATTATTTCATTTAAATTTTTAAGTCCTACTCTCTAAGAGTCAATCAGTGGATTATCACTGACAGTGAATATTTCACTGATTCACAGTTACAAGTGGCGCTGAATTATTCAGTGCTAGACACTAAAAAAAAATTTTCGCTACCGTAGCTAATCATGGCTTGCTTAAAATATTTCGCTGCCGTAATTAAAAATTTCTAAAGCACGGCGAACGATTTGCTATTAGGCACAGTAGCAAAATATTTAGCTATCACAACTAAATATTAGCTGTCCATATTTTACAACTGAAATTTAGTTGCGACGTACAGTTTTTAACTAGGGTTGCTACATTGTTCTTTCCGTGTACTTGTAACTGTTGTCAGTGATAATGCACTGATTGATTTTTAGAGAGTAGACTTCAGAATGATTGCACAGCTTGATATCTCAAATATATAATATCTCCACTTTTCAAATGTATCTACGCGTTAATTCTTATACAGTTATAATTTTTAAGATTGTAGGTAACTGAAATTGCAATTCTCCGCATTTTAATGATATCAAGACAAATGGTTGGAATCGCTAGCGAACTTTGTATTTAATTAACGATCCACAATCTTATTTTGTATTTAGTCGATGTCTGCGTTATCGAATTCAACTAACGGCTTCATATCGCGCGCCGTTAGCTGCCGGAAAGCGAAAAATCTAGGTCGCAATCTTGTTTCAACGTACGTCCCTATCGTACACGGTTAATTGCAATGCGCGAAGTTGCGCGGCAATAAATTTTCCGTCGGGACGCCGAAGGGCACAACGTAACGAATTTAAAGTACACCCCGATACTGAATACCGTAACACAACAGTTCCCGCTTCCCTAAATGCGTTACAACGTCTACCGAGGCGCCGAAGAGAAAATTAGTTATGGAACCGGTTAAATTAGTTTCTGCGATCGGTACAACAAAATTCCTCGTGGCAGACTTGCCTTTCAAACGTAAGATAAGAAAACTCGATCGGTAGTCCCGTAGACAGCGATAATAAAAGAAAATTTTACAATTCATCGTTTAAAGCCAACGGCACACGATACTATTTTTCCTACTGGATTGCTTACGAGAACCAATCAGGACGCAGAGTTTTCGATCAGGTGACTCAAAGCTGAATCCTGGTTGGCTCTCGTAAGGAATCCAGTAGGAAAAATAGTATCGTGTGCCGTTGGCTTTATTTCACGATCCATTAATAGCTGATTCGCGCGATATATATCGATAAATATCTCCGATACACTAATGAATAATTAAGTGATAATGTTCTTAATTTTTCCGGTATTCTAATTGCTTCCACTTGCCGTAACTTTTTTTTTTAAATCGCAGTTTCGGTTATCTCGATCCATTTCTTTTTTCAACTCTCTTCGGTTCTCCAAAACTTGCCGCAATCGCGTGAAAAATTGACTGCTGTACCTGAGAATTGATGCGCGCGATTTCGCGTCTCAATATATCCATGTGCGCATCCTTGCACTCGGGGCAACATTTCTTCTCGCAGTGCACGCACAGCTGACAGTAACTCTTCTCGGAGCAAACGCCACAGCGTTCCATGGTCTGACCGCTGGTCGGGTCCGGCAGTTCCCCCGTGATCTCGATATGCAATTCCAGGAATCGCTGCAGTGTCACGTTGGTCGGAAAGGCTTGCACGCCCTACAAATAGGATGTATATTCGGCTCGATTAACGCCTGTATTACGCGTATATGCGTACGAGTACGCCGCTTATTAATGGACCGGAATCGGTGCACCGCGCGAATAATGCTGCGAATTAATTATACAACGCGCGCTTGACGTTCCTTTAACGTTAATATTACACGAGTGAAGCTACTAATCTGTGAGTGTTAAAGTGGATCATTTACTCTACCATGCGATACGGCTGTATCGTTTCGCGAGAATTGTATACGCAAGTCTTTTTTCCGAGATTATTCGACTTTGTTCTCAAAACGCAATCGGACAATTGATTACGCAGCGATCGCAACCGAAAACATTTTAGAATTCTGCTGCCGCTTGCGTAACTACGTTCGATTATTTAAAAAAAAAACAGACCAGTTCGAAGACGACATTAGCACGAAACGCGAGAATACACTGGGTTTAATGAGAATCCCCTCGCGTTTGGATTCATTGTTGAATAAAGATGAGCTTACCCGTAGCGCCACATCGGGTTACTCTGACACGCACAGAGTAACATTTAATTTGTGCGACAAAACATCGATCGATTTTTCTCCTGTTCGCATTATTGTCCGATCGTGTCGCAAACATATTAAAGACGTAAACTCGATAAAACGACACGTAATAGCTGGGAAACCGTGTTGCTTTGCGGAGAAACGAGTTGCGACAGCTTGCGCAATTATACTTCTCGTATGCATATAGTGCGGAATCGCGAAAAGTTCTTTTCCTAAATCTAAACGTAATAGACAATTTATTTTGACGTTAATTAAACGAGGCACTAAATAATATCTTTCGACCTTCGAAGCACGTTTCACAATTCTAGCAGAGTCGAAATTTTGGCCCTGTGTTGAACGTTTAATTCTGTTATATAGTAGGACAGTAAAAGAGGTTGAATTGCAAGTACAAAATTTATTCCTACTTTAAAACTGATAGTGTCGGAAATTTCTTCTTTTGCCAATTTAGCATTAAAGTAGGTCCTTTTAAGTAGGAGCTAAAGTAAAGTTTTAGAGAATTAAAGATTCAAGAGAGAAGTAAAAATACAATCTCATCAAAGTAGGTTATTGCTGATTTATGTAGGTGTATAGAGCAGCTAAGTAGGTGTCAGTTATCCTGAAAAGTGTCAAAATAGTACCAAAATTTCGACTCGGGTAAGTTTTCGTATATCACTTATATATCTTAATACGATTAAGATATAATTTACCTGATATGGTATACGATGTTCGGCACGGCATTCCGGACATTTGACCTGTCGACGAACATAGTCGACAAGGCCGTCCATGCACGGTTCCATGCAAAAGCTGTGTTGACATGGCAAGAGCTTTGGATTTCTGTATCGATCCAGGCATATTGCGCAGGTTAGCAGCTGCTCGAACTGCTCCATGCCTAAGAAGAAGAAAATTCATTTTCAATCTGTCCTGTGCTTTACATACATTGTATGGTATCGTAAAAGAGGACAAGTTAGGTAGTAACATTCGACTCTTTCACAGTATCGGATTGATTCATTCTAATACACACTTTTGTTTTATAATGTAACAATATAAATGTATCTAACAAATTATTTTCATAAAAAATATGGCGATGAATATTCATGAATGTTGTAAATGTATTTAATACAGTTTGCGAAAAAAAATTATTTTGTCTGTTTTCTCTAAAAGCAGATTATTTACGTTGGTACAATTGATATTGTTTTATCGAAAGTTTATTGTTTATTAAAATAATGGCAAATGTTTGATGCGGATGTGAGAATGTTTCAATGCGTTTCGCCATCTTGCGCCATTTCTAACTCGACATCGTCATAGTTAATAAATAGATTATACGAGTATATCGACTGTAACCGGACAGTGTTTCAAAATTTAAATGCTGCCAAAATGGTGTTCGTCCAGCCACGTGTTAAGCGATTGAGGAAACAGCAGTTTGCAATAGCAGCTGATAGTATTCTTGCATCAGTGACTGGATCGATATTTATACATTCATAGTAATAGACATTTTTGTCAGCATATAGTTCGTAACAGAACTTTGGAAAGAAGGCGGAATTATAAATGATACCAATGTATGTCATATTTAAAATGCATTTTTAAATATTATCGATTAAATTGTTTTATTAACGGCAGGATTTGGCCAATCTGCATGTATTATGCATACACATCTATATGTATCCTACTTACAAAATAATTAATTCATTGTATCGCTAATTAGCAATTGCACGCATTCCATAATTAAATCGTGACGAAATCAACGCTCGAATTTTACGAGCTAGAAACAAACTCGCGAATCTTTTTCAACGTAGTATGTCACAAGTACTAAGACAATGTCAAGATCTTTGTGTGGAGTCATTGGACTTCTATTTTAAGATACGATGCATCATCGGCGTAAATTTGTAAAGAGATGGGTGAACTTGAAAGACAACCCTGGAAACTTCACCGCGGCGCAAATTATGCTGAAACTTTTAATAATTAAATCGTAGTCGCAGAGTGCATTAAAGAATCTTATTTTTCAACGGTTTCAATATTTACTTTATTCTCTCGCAAAACTCGCAAGAGCTTTCGTTGAGAGGAGCTTTGACAAAAATAGCAATTTAAATATTTATCAATATTTTGTTATCGAGTAACTTTACTGGTCCGAGTAACTTTAGATCATGAATCGTACGGTTCAACTGTGATGGTTTAAAAATAACGATAGTACGATAAATGTATTGCCTAATTGTCGAAATTTATCGATCGCGGGAATAGTTTCGTGAAATGCATCCGTCATGCTTAATAGTATCAGATTGTAATGTATTACTGACCGGCTGTAATGTTGAAATCGAAATGAGTAGAATTGCAGATCGGAAACCGCGGCAACCGTAATAAATATTTGAACGTCGCTAATGAGTGAATGATTACCAATGCAATTCACGAATTAATTATCGCGCTTGTATGAGGTGCGTAGTAGGCGAAATAATCTCGATTAACACGAAGTGAATGTTTTATTTAACGCTATGCATATTTACAACACAAAAATACAGTTTGTAATATTATTCCAGATCTGATATGGATTTAATCACAACGTTTAACACAATTTTACAAATTTATTTAAATAAATTAATGATAACTTTGACTCTTTTGCGACCGCTTTACATTTGTCTACTCCTTCCTTTTTCTATTCTCATTTCTATTCTTCTAACTAAACCCCCCCTCCTTCTTTTGTTCTAGATATTACAACAGAATAAAAATTTTATATCTGTATTTTTTGCTATATTAAAACATTCTTTGTTTGCATAATTAATTATTGATGACCGTTTTATTCGTTTGTATAAAAATTAATTTAGAAAATTGTATCCGGGCGATACAATTTTAAATACAATTTTACGCGCGTGACGCACATCGAGAATCTGCGAGTTCTATAAAAACTCGCGAAGTCTATATCACTTCTTTCTCTAACGGAGGCACTCAATCAATGTCGATTATAATTCCAGACATTTCAGATCCGGCCTTCTCGTAAAGCATCCGGCGTGCTGTCGCTTTGATGCCAACGTAAACGTTCGTCACCAAATTGGTCTAATAGAAACATCAAAACTTTATAAAAAAATTTTGGATATAAAAAAACAGAGTTAAATTCCCAATTCTTCTCGACCGTTCATATTTTCCAACGCATGTAATTATGTAATTTTAGTAAAAGTTTTGTGTTGGTATAATATTACAAAAGATACTCTAAAATAATTTATATTATATAAAAGTGAAATATTTAACATAACCGTACATTTTTAAGCAAAGCTAATATATTTTTTGGTAGTTATAGTATTTTGCAAATTAAATTTACTCACGTATATTTTGTACATGTATGCAGGAGTCCAATTATATATTTCACAATTAACACAATTTAACATTAAATAAAAAATGTTTAGATCTTTCGCTAGCACTTTCAATCACGACTAATTAAATTGCCATAATGTAAAAATATGGTGGCTCCTCCTAGCGAATACCAAAGCGGATAAATTTAAATAACACCGAATACGTTCGCAATACGCACGCGCGTGCGTCAACATTACACGGGGGAAAGAGGAACGTTCAAAGAGATTGTTTGAAACGTTAGCGAGTACGTAGCTAGATGTCGAGCCAAATTTGTTTCGGCTTTCGCAAGTCTCTCCGTGCTGACGTCGCCGGAGTCGAAGGTCGCCACGTCGAGGACCGATCGCGCTTCCGAACCGACACAATGGCAAAAGCTAGTACATTAGGAAGCATTGTTACTCTCAGACGAACCACTTGTTGGATCTTAAAGCGAACTCTCCCCCTCGCACTCCTCACTCTTTCTCTCCGCGTGCACGTTGGGGGTGCAACAGGCGGCGAGCAACGATTGTATTAGCAACTTTCATGGGCGTTGCCATGAGGATGAAACGGGATGCTAATTCTGACACTTTGACTGTGAGCCTCGAAACTTCATCGAGCAACCTGTCCCCCCCCCCTCCTCTTACCCCTGAGAGATATCCGCCTACATTATTAAAGTCCTCGTTTCATCACGCTTTAATTGTATGAACATATTTCGTGGCGGATCATGGGGACTTCCTGCCTTTCGAGAGAGCCCCCGGAGTGTGGTCTAATAATTTCGAGAAGCGGTTTCATTGGGAAATACCCAATGAATAATGTTAATTACCGTACCCCATGTATCTCCGAAATCTTCTATGAAATTGTTCACGAAAGCGACTTTACCAGAAAGAACTTTCATAATATTATATATATATATATATGTATAGTTACTATAATTACTTTAACTGTTAAATGGCGTCTAGATTTACCGTATGCTTGACATATAATTGATAAAGACATTATATCTTCAAGCGTACCTAAGTATTTTAGCATTAATGCAGAATTAGTAATGAAACAAAGGAATTTGTATTATTTGTGTAAATTCGTAACAAAAGGAGACTGTACAAGGAAAAGGGGCGACATCCATACCACGTTGACTGTACAAAGAAATTAATTTTTAAAATGTATACAAATGTGTTAAAAATAAAATAGCGACTACATAGCAACCCAATGTTATTTTGTAATAATTCGGTAGGTGTCAGGTCTACAGACGACCCGCTAGAACACAATGCGTACAGATGCAGATTCGGAAATTCCGAGTGTCGTACTTTCACAAAACGAAGCCGCACACGTGGCGCATCATTATTCTCGTGCAGCAAAATAAACAGCGTCGCGAATGATTCAGCTTTTTCCTTTGTCCGCGCGCGGCAAAATTTGCGGGCGTCATTTCAAAAGGAGGGTATTTCAAGTCGTCTTGTCTCGTCTAATGCATCCGTGAAAGATTCGCGGCGTAATTGAATGCCACAAGACAGTGAGAATGAAAAAAACAAGAAATTTCGCAGAGATCTAAATTTATTATTCATTTCCACGAAATATTTGCAAAATAGCGCGGTGTGCTATTTGATACTTTGCATTTTGTTCATTCAATTTTGAGAGATTCTGCCTTTGTAATATGTCCTTACTTATTAGCGTAATTAATTCGTGTATGCAGGGTGTTCCAAGAGGAAAGGTCAATATTCTGGGAGGTGATAGTATCGGTCATTTTAAGCAAAAACGTTCACATGAATATATGTCCCATTTCCCACTGTTTCCGAGACAGAGCTGTTTGAATGTACAGTTGCAAAATTACTGACAAGAAAGAAATACTACACTGACAAAAAAGATATTTTAAACTAAAAAAATATTACTTAAGAAAATTATTCATTGGGTGGCTCCTAATAGCTTACTAACTTAAATTTAAAAAATAATAAACAAATTAGACGTACATTGCTTTAATTTAAGTATTTATTAAATATCAAAGAATAGACAATTTTTAATTTAAAAACTTTTATTTTAATTCTATAAAATGTTTACTAAGATGTAATTTTCACAGCGAAGAAAATTCGATTTCTTATTTAACAAAAGCAATTATTTCAATTAATAAATAGTATTCTATATCTCATGAAATTTTTACTTGAATATAGAAAATGTAATGATTTAAATTAATTTACTTAACATAATACATGGATTTACTTGAAATTTGATATTTTTATTTAAATAGAATAAATATTTACTTCAGTAAAAAAATTATTTTAAGTAAATCTATTTACTTTGTTAAAAAAAAATTTTTTGTCACTGTACGTACTATTTCTAATATTTATTCTTGACAATTCGGAATTCTGCGTGTAGGAAAGCGTCGACGGTACTCTTCAACAGCGGCAATAGCACTACCATCATAGAAACCGTAAACGTACAGCATATCTGCATATTCGACATTTGTGAATAAGCGAGGCATTTTGAACATTTCTACAATGTTATCAGCACAACAGTCAACAGGTGTAAGAGTGCATTCCCGCGGACGTTTATGAGGTTGGACGAAGGGTGGAAGTGTACAGAAAAAAA